ATTGTCTGGCAAGTGAACATTTCTTTGTATACTTCATCTTTCTTGTTGTAATTCCTTGTGATTGATATGTAGAGAACTATTTGAGTGGATTGAGCTTGAACCACTACACTTCTGGCATTCTTTTCTTTTCATGGACCAGGTTCTCTCTCTCTCTCTCTCTCTCTCTCTCTCTCTCTCTCATTACAAGAAAACTGTCAATTTTTATTTGTACAAGGAAGATTCGAGTGACAATGTTTGCACTTTAGAAAAATAAACATCATATCTATCTCTATCATGCAATCAAATGAGGAAACGTATCCAATTTTTAGATTATCCTAGGATGATCCATGTGAAAAAATATTATGAATACGAAATTGTTTAACCATTTGGTTAGGATCATTACAGATTACTGATGTGGCTGATATTTTGCATGGATGGCTATAAAGGCGATTACAATTTTGAACTGCATTGTGGGGTACTGCTACAGGGGATGCTCCCTTCAGTTTAAAATAAGAACATCCTTACTTGAAAGTCTTCAAAAGTTCTTCCTTAATGTACATAAGTTTATAATGATACACTAACAGATGATTTCCATTTCTGCCATGAATGTCAATTATTAGTGGGTTTGCTCTATTTTGCAGGGCCCGCTGGCACCTCATAAATTGTGTCCATTTTGGAAGATAAATATTGATTAAATTACTAGGAAAGCATAAAGATACCAGTGGATATTAAAGTGTTTGACATTTATGCATTTAATGGTTGAACTAATAAGTTAGAACCTTTTTTGTGTTCCCCGTGCCTTTCTTTATCTTTTTGCTTTGGTCTGAGTCATCATGGCTTTCTATGATAGTATAACTATGGTGGAATTCCGGTTAGAGATGAAGGAAGCATGGATGGTGAAGCTCAAATGGATATTGTATCAAGCTGGAATATTGCTGAATGCTTACCCAAGAAAATTCAGGTTAGTTACTGAAAAATAATTAGTTTGCCCTAGTATACATGCTGAACGACCAAGAAAATATTATAATCTACAGGTTTCAATTCAAGCAGTAGATCTTGAGATCATGGTTGGTTAATATACAGGTTTCATTTTGCAGGACCACTTTGTTTATATTGTATCTCAATTTCTGTATATTCCCTGGGACTATGCACAAAAGCAGGCAGCAGTTAGAACATCTTTACAGAATGACAGCATTTGCACGCCATCAATCACTGTAGCAGATGCTGAAACTTTTGAGTCTCATATGATAGATTTCCTTAAAGGACAGGTATGTATGATGACATATTCTTGAAAAAGTTGTGCAGCTTATTGGTTTACTGTCTAACATCTGATTAGTTCTGGTTTATGTTCCACAGATCAGCTCATATTTTACTGATAAACTTCTGGGAATTGTTCATGATACGATACTTCATGTGAAGGAACTGAAAAAATCAGAGAATGACCATGATACATCTCTTGGGCTGCCACAAATTGCTGGTAATATCCACCAAGGGGATGCAGCATTGGAGTTCATTAAGCACGTCTGCGGTGTTTTCTCCATTGACCAAAATGTTATCCATGATGTTCTGGTATTATTTGCTCTACTGAATCATATGCCATGTAGTCCTAATCACATTTGCACAAAATTGGATGCTTTAATTATAGGGAAACTCTATTCGCATCCCTTTCACTGATTAGTTTGCCATCCATTTAGCTACTAAGTCACACATGTGGTAGTTTCCCTTAGACCCGAATGTGTATCTGAACATGCGAGGGAACCAATTTTTTTAATCTGTTGGTGTAATTTCCTTTTTATCTTTTAAATTGTCTAGATGCAACTGAAAATTATCAAACATCCAACTGCCTTAAATTTTACCCACATTAGTGAAGTTTTGGAATTGTTTTGTATTTGTTCTTGCGTGAAGTAAAGTTCACTTTGTGTCCTTACCCTTCAGGTAATGAGAAAGAATCTGTTGAAGATTGTACGTGTGAGGGAGTTTGCCCCTGAAGCAGAGTTTCGTGATCCCGGCGCAACCTTCACTTTACCAAATGTTATTTGCAGGTATATAAGTGAAAAAGCAATGGCCTATTGTAATTTACAGATTGCACTCGATAAGGTTTCTCAGGGCTCGTGCATTTTCAAGCCACAGAATGGTATTGGTAGTTGGCCTTTTGTTTTTTGGTCGAATGGTTGCTGCTATTATTTTGAGGAAACACATCCGGTTGGATGGTGGTTCTTGACTTTGTCCCCCATTTATAAATTAGATGGCCCTGCAAAATCTACTTGATTCCATTGTGCACACACAAGTCATCCCAGTGTTTCATTTACAGTGGTCGCTTTTCAAGCTTATCCATAATCTTAATTTCTTCTTCGTTTCTTTCATAAATTGGAGAATTTTAAAATCTTTCCGAGTTTGCTTTAATTTCTTGGATCTAGTTAACATGAAATTTTCAAGTTGATTGATGTCTACCCTTCTTTTTGCCATATTGACAGCTACTGCAACGACTGTAGAGACCTGGACTTATGCCGCGACTCAGCTCTTCTAGCCAGGGAGTGGCGTTGTTGTGTACCACAATGTGGGCAGCTTTATGACAAAGAGGTGATGGAGAATGCCCTTCTTCAGATTGTGCGGCAGAGAGAGCGTCTCTACCAACTACAGGATCTCCAATGCCTCAGGTGTCACCAAGTGAAAGCTGCACGTTTAGCAGAGCAATGTGTATGCGCTGGCTCATATAAGTGCAGGCAAAACGCAACTGAATTTCGTACCCAAATGGAGTTAATTTGGAAGATTGCCATTCATCAGAAATTTCAACTTCTCCAAGAGTGCATTGAATGGATTTTAGAAACGAACAACTCTTAAGGGAGCAGCCAAGATTTCTTATGTTTTGAAGATGAACAGAAACGTGTGACGCAGAAATGGTGGGCATTCAGCGAGGTACTATAGCTATCGATTTGTAGCGCAATCTGTGCAAGTAATTTGTGTTGAGCTCAAATGCCGCAACCAATACAAGGAATTTCCTCCGTAGGGAGCACTACCCTTTCACTCGTACATAAAATGTGTAACTGATGATATTGTAAATGGTCAAAATAATGTTAAATTTCAAAGATAGTTCACATTCGCTATACATCTTTCTAACCCATGCCGAGCCTTCATTCGAGCTAATTTTTCTAAGTTATCGCGTGCTCAAATTCGAGGATGGAGGAGGGGTCTATTCAATTAGGAATCTAATTGAGTTTAATGTAATTATTAACTTTCATGGATTTCATGAATTTTAATTGATTCACATAGAATCCAGTGAATTGTAAAATGATTTTATATGAATTTTGTTACGAAGTTTAGTGGATTTTTATGGAGTCCATTGTAGTTATTGGGCAATTCGTTTTTAAAATCTTTATTGAACTCATTGGAATGCAAGCCACAAATTCAATTCTTGCTTTAATTCTTCATCCTCCATTTCACTTTCTCGTTCATCTTCCTCAATTTCTTCATCCCCTATTTCCCCTCAATGTCTTCCTCCTCCAACAAGTCTTCCTAAATTGTTTTATTACCCATTCATATTTCGAGCCATTTTATGTACAGAATCACTTAAGAAAAATACATGAATACAATATTAAAATGAATACAATATTAAAAGGTCAACAATCTGCATATCTTCAAATTAAAGCCATCCATTTTTTTTTTCAGAATTACAACATTGATAAAACCACTGACCACATGTCTTGTCTTGCAAACTATAAAATCGCAAAAATAAAAAGAGCAAGATTTATGTAATCAAATTTGTCGTACTTAAAATGCAAATTATTGACACAAACACAGCATATTGTCTGTATAATACCTGGAGAAGGGTTTATGAGGAAGCTGTTCATATTTTATTGGCTTGAAATATGGAGGGGTCAGGGGTGCATCAAAATCAACAAAATTTATTAAATCCTACAAATTCCTTGACTTTTTGAATACTCTCAGATTTGAAAAATTACTCTAAAAATCTGGATTAAATACCACCAGACTTTGACGGACTCTTTTTATATCCAAATTGAATACAACCTGCATTTCACTAATTCAATTAAAATCTTAATTGAATACCCATAAATTTTCAAACTCTTTTAAAATCTCACATAATCCTAATTGAATACAACCCCGTATATCAGCTACTTGACTTCAAACTAGACACATTGAACCTCACCGTCAAGCATCCATCCCTAAAAAAGATGTGTTTTTTCGAATCACAATTTTTTTTGCTGGCTCTTGCCATAGAACTAACAATTCCCTCCGTCGGTTCTTTCCCTCCGCCGATCCTGCGCCCCCCCCCCCGGCGCGTGTGTTTTGATAACCTTCCGTGCACTTTTGCCCCTTTGCTGAAGTTGTCTGCACCTAAGTTTCTTATTTTCCTACCCCTCTCGACTAATTAACCTTTTCACCAATGGATTTCTAGTGTGGGAATTCACCCCCTCCCCTCCTTTCTTTAGCATGGTACCAACTTCTTATCCTTGGTTGGTAAATCTGGCAATCAAATTTTGTATACAGAATTTTTCGTTATTCGTTTATCTACGTGGCGCCAACTAAGATCACACGTAAGCAAAACTCATGCCACGTCAACAAACAGATCAGATGTTGGCAATGTGAGACTCGGAAGTCAAGTAATAATGTTAACTTTAGGTGTAGGGTTGGCACTGAGAATTTAGAGGTCCTAGGCAAGCCTTTGAAGTGAGGCTCTAGAGTTATCTCACCTCCTACCTTTTGTAAATTGATATGTATAAAAAAGAATTCGATAAATACATGAAAAAAGTCTATTTCTACGTCAAATGTCATAAAAATTAATATAAAAAGAATAAAGATATACAAACATTACTTAAATATTATACATCTCGCGTTTATAGAAGTAAATGTATTAATTAAGTTTACATAATCCAATTTTTCAACTAATTCTTTTCATTTGATAAAATGGCTAACCCATTCAATCTTTCTTGTGACATAGTTGATCAAAGATAAGATTTGTACAATTTAAAATACTTCTTTCTACAAAAGCTACTGTACTGTTATTGTTTGACAAAATTATATAAAACAATCAAATCTTACAAATGTTCGGTTCAGCCGCTCAGCTCAATGAGTTATTGTATTTAGACAAAAACTCAAAGTCTGTAAATTTTTATTTGAACAAACACAAGATTTGAAATATTATTATTTTATTACACACATAGAGATAGATATATATATATATATATATATATATATATATATATATATATATATATCTCCACGTTAAGCCTAACTTTATTATATGGCTAAGAGATTTCAAGGGGTACTCCACGTCATAGAACAAGTGGAGGAAATAATATATTTTTAAGTTTCTTCCCTTATTTTATGACACGGAGTACCAGCTTAAATACCGGACATTGAAAAACTTCTCCATATGACCAATGTATTTCATGGGTCACGGGCTAACAACTAATTTCCAGTTAAATTCAAGACGTTCGCTAATCTACGCTCGGCCGCTGGCCATTCACTTCTTCATTGTGGTTTTTTCTAAGTACATTAAAATATTAGACACACCCACATTAGGCATACCGACAGGTCGATTTCCACAAACGCAACATGAAACTTGACCGGGAGAACCATATTACTGTAGTAATATGCCCCGCTACTCGCTGGCTTAGTCCTTTTTCCTGCTCTCCATTCCCTGCTTCAAGGACTCCAACCTTTTCCTGCACAGTTATTGCAATGCTATTGAGGATAGAGGTCCATACAATACTTAGACTGTATGATGAACAGGTGATGGCTCATCAAATATGAATCAATTGGCATGGTTGCACGGATAATACAAAGATTTAACTATAAGGAAGAAAAAAAGTTTACAAACTGAATTAGTTAAGCATTATAGTTCATAAAATACTGAATCTATCAACCGATTATTCACAAATTCCGAAGAAAGAGAAAGGAAATCTAGAAACCGTCATCTTTTACCAATAGACGTACATGTGCAGTAGAGAGCAATCAAGTATTGGTTGTCAATAAAAAAAACCTTTCAAGTTTACTCACGAAAATTCAATTATTTGCAAGATAACATACTTGGTATCTGTAAGGCGACCATGCAAACTCCATCTCTGGCGAAATCCGTCTATGCCTTCAAGTCCACTAGCAAGAATCAAACGCCTATAGAAACATAATGATTTCCAAAGTCAATTAATGCTTAAGATTCATATAAATAAAGGCGATAAAGCAAAGACATACTAAAACAATTATGGTTCTATAAAGATAAAAGGACAACAGTACCAGTGTTATCCATAGCACAGGGTAATCAGAAGACTTTAAGATTTCAAATACAACACGAAAAGGTACTTATGCAAGTTTTAGATCATTTAGCTCTCTACAAAGCTTATCCACAGAGCTTTTAAAAGGGTATAGCTTAGGCAGACAACCAAGAAAATCATACTTGGAAGTTGGAACTAAAGCTTGTAAACAACTCTGGAAATTTGCAATTTTTGTGAACTCCTGAAACATACAACAACAACAACAAAGTCTTTTCTCACTAAGTGGGGTCGGCTATATGAATCCTAGAACGCCATTGCGCGCGGTTTTGTGTCATATCCTCCGTTAGATCCAACTACTCTAAGTCTTTTCTTAGGGTCTCTTCCAAAGTTTTCCTAGGTCTACCTCTACCCCTTCGGCCCTGAACCTCTATCCCGTAGTCCCATCTTCGAACCGGAGCGTCAGTAGGCCTTCTTTGTACATTTCCAAACCCATTTTGTGTACGTGTTGATGTTTCACCGCCCAACATTCTGTGCCATACAGCATCGCCGGCCTTATTGCCGTCCTATAAAATTTTCCCTTAAGCTTTAGTGGCCTACGACGGTTACACAACACGCCGGAAGCACTCTTCCACTTCATCCATCCAGCTTGTATTCTATGGTTGAGATCTCCATCTAATTCTCCGTTCTTTTGCAAGATAGATCCTAGGTAGCGAAAACGGTCGCTCTTTGGTATTTCCTGATCTCCGATCCTCACCCCTAACTCATTTTGGCCTCCATTTGCAATGAACTTGCACTCCATATATTCTGTCTTTGATCGGCTTAGGCGAAGACCTTTAGATTCCAACACTTCTCTCCAAAAGTTAAGCTTCGCATTTACCCCTCCTGAGTTTCATCTATCAACACTATATTGTCTGCGAAAAGCATACACCAAGGAATATCATCTTGAATATGTCCTGTTAACTCATCCATTACCAACGCAAAAAGGTAAGGACTTAAAGATTGTTGATGCACAAAATCAGTGAGGACTTTGGTACAACAGAGAGTATTAAGTTTGTGATCTTCGCTAGATTGCTCTGGTCATTAGTGTGGATAAGTATGTAAATGGATAGAGACAGGAAAGCAAACAAAAGATGTACGTGGTTCACCCAGATTGGCTACGTCCACGGAGTAGAGGAGTTCTCATTAATTGTGAAGGGTTTATGCAAGTACATAGGTTCAAGCTCTCCTTTAGTGAGTACAAGTGAATGATTTAGTACAAATGACATAGGTTCAGGCTCTCGTCTTCACTTGCCTTAACTGTCTCATAGGTAGATGTGGCATCTTCTCTGGAAGTACGCTTCCTCCATCCAGGGGTGGTATCTTTAATTGGTGGAGATGCACAAGGTAATGTATCAATTTCACTTGAAGCTTACTTGTAGTTTCAGGCTTGGTCAAGCGCGATACAAACCATGTAGTAGGAGTCCCTCAAGTCGCCGAGCTAGGGGATCTGCTGAAAGAGGTGACAGACAAGGTAAGCAATCAGAGCTCCAAGCAATCAGTCCCAGATCAGAAGTTTGATTTCGAGTTCCGGCTGATTGTTCTCATTCTCCCTATCTTGCAGGCAGCATGAAGGATAAAGAGAAGAAAAGGAGAATATATGATATGAGATACTTTTGCTTTTGAAGAAGTAACTTTCCGCAGGCTTATTCTTGAACTGGGCTGGAGGATTTTTTGGTTTCCTCCAGAGTATAAGGCCGACTGAAGAATTTGAGGGTCAAAACACGTCCATCAAATCTAGAGTACGTTCGACCTTGCTGATATGGGATACTTTTGCTGTTGACAAAGTAGTGGATGTATCGGCACGTGTTCTCTTATGCTTGTCTCCACATGCTTCCTTGTATCCTTTTCACTTTCCTTATCTGTTCCTCAGGCAGATGTGGTATCTTCTCTGGAAGCATAAGATGTTGAAGATGGGTACTCGAGAGCAATGCCAAGTAAGTAATCAGGTAAGGGGTTCCAGGCAGTTAGTTCCTGACTGGAAGCTTGATTCCAAGTGCTAACTGATTGCTCTCTTTCTCCTTGTCTTGCAGGTAAGAACAAGGCCAAAGGAAAAGACAGGGAAAAAGCATGATATGGGATACTCTTGCTTTTAACCCTAATGATATGAGATATTCTTGCTCTGGTGTAGCTTGTTTGCAGAGGTATTATCGGGGGGAAAGAAAGCTGAGTATTTCGAGAGGCTTCGTTGGGAGTGCCCTCTCAGATATGAGGAAGGGTTGAGCATTTTTGCAGGTCTGCCTGTCCGTTGAGGATGGAGGTCGACATATATAGGAGTTTCCCTAACAACAAGTAGTAATGCTATTCCTTTACCCTGCTTGATCATAGCACGGTAGTGGGAGCTGCCAACTTCACGTGTGTCAGAGCACTTTGAAAAAGTGATCTGTGGTATCTGGAAAGCTGATGTTGCGTGTGAAGATTACAGACAAGCTTTATCCAAGGAAATCTGGCTCTCGAAGTTGAGAAAGCGGTGCCTCTTCGGTTTTCGTACAAGCAATCCTGTTGGAGATCTGGCTCTCGAGATTCGGAAAACGGTGCCTCTTCGATTTTTGAGAGAGCAATCCTGCGGGGAGTCTAGCTCTCGAGATTCGAAGAGCGGTGTCTCTTCGATTTTTGAGAAAGTAATCATGTTGGGAGTCTGGCTCTCGAGATTTGGAGGACGGTGTCTCTTCGATTTTGGAGCAAGCAATCTTGTTGGGAGTGTTTTCTCGAATGTAAGTAAAGGTTGGGCATGTTTGCTAGTCTACCTTGCCACAGAGCACAGAGGTCGACACACAAGGACTTTCCAATTATCCAGCAGCAGTGCTGTTCCTTTACCCTTGTAGGTAATAATATGGTAGCTAGACCTTCAAAATTTATGTATCTAAACTTTGTTAGTGCTGTTTCTTTGCTATTCTTTTACCCTTCTTGGTCATAGCGATGTAGTGGGAGCTGCAAGCTTCACGTGTCTAAACTTTGTCAGAGATCTTTGGCAAAGTTATCTATGGTACCCATGAGCTGATGGTGCGTGTGGAAAGTGGATGATTGAACAGTAAGATTCACGTGCTTTCTACTTCACCAGAAATCTTCAACAGAATGCCCGTAATTTCAGCAAAGCTGAGTGTGCATGTGACAGGTGCTGACAAGGCTGAAAAAAGCAGGTGCCTCTTCGATTTCTGAGATCGGCCCTCGTGGTCTCTGAGCAGCCCAGCTTTTGAGAAAGCAAGCGCCTCTTCGATTTCTGAGATCGGCCTTCGTGGTCTTTGAGCAGCCCAGCTTTTGAGAAAGCAAGCGCCTCTTCGATTTCTGAGATCGGCCTTCGTGGTCTTTGAGCAGCCCAGCTTTTGAGAAAGCAAACGCCTCTTCAATTTCTGAGATCGGCCCTCGTGGTCTCTGAGCAGCCCAGCTTTTGAGAAAGCAAACGCCTCTTCGATTTCTGGGCAGGCGCCTCTTCGATTTCTGAAGCTCCGTCGAGTGCAGATTTTTATAGAGGCTGGCATTAAGTTCCAAAGCACACTTGAATCTTCACCAGTAGAAGCTCCCTTCTTGCACTTCTAAGATCTTGATTTGTCCGACCTCTTCTCTCTTCAACACCTTTGAAAATGTCTAGCCCCTCCGACCGTCGTTTTGACTTGAACCTCGTTGAAGAGGCAGCCACGCCTTCTCCAGACAACATATAGCGCCCATCCTTCTTATCTCCTACTGGTCCGCTTACCGTTGGGGATTCCGTGATGAAGAAAGATATGACTGCTGCGGTGGTGGCCAGGAACCTTCTCACTCCCAAAGATAACAGACTACTTTCCAAACGGTCTGATGAGTTGGCTGTTAAGGATTCTATGGCTCTAAGTGTTCAGTGTGCAGGTTCTGTGTCTAATATGGCCCAGCGCCTATTTGCTCGAACCCGCCAAGTTGAATCATTGGCAGCTGAAGTGATGAGTCTTAAACAAGAGATTAGAGGGCTCAAGCATGAGAATAAACAGTTGCACCGGCTCGCACATGAGTATGCTACAAACATGAAGAGGAAGCTTGACCAGATGAAGGAATCTGATGGTCAGGTTTTACTTGATCATCAGCGGTTTGTGGGTTTGTTCCAAAGGCATTTATTGCCTTCGTCTTCTGGGGCTGTACCGCGTACTGAAGCTCCAAATGATCAACCTTCGATGCCTCCTCCTTCTAGGGTTCTGTCCAGTACTGAGGCTCCGAATGATCCCCCTCCGGTGCCTTCTCTTTTTGGGGCTCTACCGACTGCTGAGACTTCTCCTAAGCAACCTTTGTGAAGGCTCCCTCTTGTTTGTTTATTTTGACTCATGTATATGTACATATTTGTAACTTATCGGAGATATCAATAAATAAGTTTTGCTTCATTTCAACGTATTGTGTTAAATACACCAAAGCCTTCTTCACTGAGTGGGGTCGGCTATATGAATCTTAGAACGCCATTGTGCTCGGTCATGTGTCATGTCCTCCGTTAGATCCAAATACTCTAAGTCTTTTCTTAGAGTCTCTTCCAAAGTTTTCCTAGGTCTTCCTCTACCCCTCCGGCCCTAAACCTCTGTCCCGTAGTCGCATCTTCTAACCGGAGCGTCAGTAGGCCTTCTTTGCACATGTCCAAACCACCGTAACCGATTTTCTCTCAATTTTCCTACAATTTCGGCTACTCCTACTTTACCTCGGATATCCTCATTCCTAATCTTATCCTTTCTCGTGTGCCCATACATCCAACGAAGCATCCTCATCTCCGCTACACCCATTTTGTGTACGTGTTGATGCTTCACCGCCCAACATTCTGTGCCATACAGCATCGCCGGCCTTATTGCTGTCCTATAAAATTTTCCCTTGAGCTTCAGTGGCATACGGCGGTCACACAACACGCCGGATGCACTCTTCCACTTCATTCATCCAGCTTGTATTCTATGGTTGAGATCTCCATCTAATTCTCCGTTCTTTTGCAAGATAGATCCTAAGTAGCGAAAACGATCGCTCTTTGGTATTTCCTGATCTCCGATCCTCACCCCTAACTCATTTTGGCCTCCATTTGCACTGAACTTGCACTCCATATATTCTGTCTTTGATAGGCTTAGGCGAAGACCTTTAGATTCCAACACTTCTCTCCAAAGGTTAAGCTTCGCATTTACCCCTTCCTGGGTTTCATCTATCAACACTATATCGTCTGCGAAAAGCATACACCAAGGAATATCATCTTGAATATGTCCTGTTAACTCATCCATTACCAACGCAAAAAGGTAAGGACTTAAGGATGAGCCTTGATGTAATCCTACAGTTATGGGGAAGCTTTCGGTTTGTCCTTCATGAGTTCTTACGGCAGTCTTTGCTCCTTCATACATATCCTTTATAGCTTGGATATATGCTACTCGTATTCCTTTCTTCTCTAAAATCCTCCAAAGAATGTCTCTTGGGACCCTATCATACGCTTTTTCCAAATCTATAAAGACCATGTGTAAATCCTTTTTCCCATCTCTATATCTTTCCATCAATCTTCGTAAGAGATAGATTGCCTCCATGGTTGAGCGCCCTGGCATGAACCCGAATTGGTTGTCCGAAACCCGTGTCTCTTGCCTCAATCTATGCTCAATGACTCTCTCCCAGAGCTTCATTATATGGCTCATTAGCTTAATACCCCTATAGTTCATGCAATTTTGTACGTCGCCCTTATTCTTGTAGATAGGCACCAAAGTGCTCTTTCGCCACTCAGTTGGCATCTTCTTCGTTTTCAAAATCCTATTGAAAAGGTCAGTGAGCCATGCTATACCTGTCTCTCCCAAGACTTTCCACACTTCGATCGGTATATCGTCTGGGCCCACTGCTTTTCTATGCTTCATCTTCTTCAAAGCTACAACCACTTCTTCCTTCCGGATTCGACGATAAAAGGAGTAGTTTCTACACTCTTCTGAGTTACTCAACTCCCCTAAAGAAGTACTCCTTTCATGTCCTTCATTGAAAAGATTATGAAAATAACCTCTCCATCTGTCTTTGACCGCATTCTCTGTAGCAAGAACCTTTCCATCCTCATCCTTGATGCACCTCACTTGGTTTAGGTCCCTTGTCTTCTTTTCCCTTGCTCTAGCTAGTTTATAGATATCCAACTCTCCTTCTTTGGTATCTAGTCGCTTATACATGTCGTCATAAGCCGCTAACTTAGCTTCTCTCACAGCTTTCTTCGCCTTTTGCTTCGCTCTTCTATACCTTTCACCATTTTCATCGGTCCTGTCCTTGTATAAGGCTTTACAACATTCCTTCTTAGCCTTCACCTTTGTTTGTACCTCCTCGTTCCACCACCAAGATTCCTTTTGGTGTGGGGCAAAGCCCTTGGACTCTCCTAATACCTCTTTTGCTACTTTTCGGATACAACTAGCCATGGAATTCCACATTTGGCTAGCTTCCCCCTCTCTATCCCACCCACACTGGGTGATTACTTTCTCTTTGAAAATGGCTTGTTTTTCTCCTTTTAGATTCCACCATCTAGTCCTTGGGCACTTCCAAGTCTTGTTCTTTTTCTCACTCTTTTGATATGTACATCCATCACCAACAAGCGATGTTGATTAGCCAAGCTCTCTCCCGGTATAACTTTGCAATCCTTACAAGTTATACGATCCCCTTTCCTCATTAGAAGAAAATCTATTTGTGTTTTTGACGACCCACTCTTGTAGGTGATCACATGTTCTTCTCTCTTCTTAAAGAAGGTGTTGGCTAAGAAGAGATCATATGCCATTGCAAAATCCAAGATAGCTTCCCCATCCTCGTTTCTCTCCCCAAAACCATGACCACCATGAAAATCTCTATAGTTGCCTGTCTCCCTACCCACGTGTCCATTTAAATCTCCTCCTATAAATAACTTCTCCGTCTGGGCAATTCCTTGCACCAAGTCTCCAAGGTCTTCCCAAAATTTCTCCTTCGAACTTGTATCCAACCCTACTTGAGGTGCGTACGCACTAATGACATTGATGAGTTCTTGTCCTATTACAATCTTGATTGCCATGATTCTATCTCCTACCCTCTTGACATCTACAACATCTTGTGTCAAGGTCTTGTCCACGATGATGCCAACACCGTTTCTCGTTCTACTTGTGCCCGAATACCAAAGTTTAAACCCTGAGTTTTCTAGATCCTTTGCCTTAAGACCAACCCACTTAGTTTCTTGTAAGCACATAATATTTATCCCTCTCCTCACCATAACTTCCACTACTTCCATAGATTTTCCTGTTAAGGTTCCTATATTCCACGTTCCTAAACGCATTACTCTCTTGAACTCTACCCTTCTGTCCTAGCTTCTTCACCCTCCCCCGTCCAATAGGATCAAAGTACTTCTTTTGTGTGTCCTGTGTAAAGTTGATAGGAGCATATACTCCCAAACAACTTTGAGTGGAGTCGTTCGAAAAGAAGTTTCTATGGCCCCCTTGCTCATTTCACACTGCATCCGGGTGCCGATGGAGATACAGCGACCCTTGCTCACTTATCACTGTGCTCGGGCCACACAGCGCGCCACTTACGGGTGACACCCTAGCTTTAGCGCGATTTCGTTCTGGATTCATTTTCATAAGGATTCGACGTAAGCAAAAACTAACCATAGGGAATTATATAACTATAAACCTATTGGCAGATGCATAGCGCACACGAACGTGTGAATGAATGAATCAAGGAACCATTGTCAGGAAGACTACTACAAAAAGGAAATAAGGAGGAAGCTAGGCTGACTGGTGAGACCTACAACTCGTTGCTAGAACTAAAACACTACATGATAGTACAACTATCAAGCAAGGACCCCTACACTAACCATTTGAGAACATACCTATCTAATGATGTGACCTCTTTTTCGAGTTGAGAAGCTCTTTCCTTTGCTTCATTTAAAGGCATTGATAACCCTAGTTTGCGCTCACTGTCCTGAAGTCGTTTTCTTAGTTCCCTATCCTGCAATTCAGTGCGAAAAAAAAACGAAACAGCAGAAAATCAAATAATCAATCCTACCTCAATACACGAAATGAACATTGTAGAGATGCAGAATACAGAATTCATAGTAAACATCTCACCCTTTTTTCAGTGCACTGTTTATACATAACAAGCTCATCTTGACAGAAGGGCTCAATATCATTGATTTGCAGGCCTGCAGTGTAAAGCATAATCACTACAATATACTACCTACCAACAAAACTTTATGGTAATCAGGAAAGTAACATATGATCATAGGTGTCTCTGTGACAATTTTTCCAACAGTCAAGAAACTGGGTCAGCCTATGTATATTTTTAACAATGTTTTAAGAGGTGAAGGCGTAGGTGAGTCGTTTCATGAATAACCCTGCCTAGGTGAAAGCCTTGAGGCGTGAGGCAAAGCCTTACAGGACCTAAAATTTAATCAACAATCAAACAAGCAATCAAACTGACCAGTGACCATATTAAAATTAGAATACTAAAAACCTTACATGAATTTTGAAACAAATAGTGGTGGTGTGGATAATTTTGGAACAAATTGAGGTATGAGATTGGGGTAAAATTGGGGAATTGGGTGAATTGTAAATGGGAGAACCCGGTATTGGGATGGGGAAGAAGGGGGGACCTGCTAGGGGTCATAAAAAAAAAATTTAGACTCGGCCAAAACAACATCGTTTTGGGGTACTCTTAAAAAAAAAAAAAAAAAACCCCAATCTTTCTTCTTCTTCGTGGTCATTTTCTTCGTGAAGACGCCACTGCAGCACAACACAGAGCCAGCCCAGCCTTTGACTTCGAGGGTCCCAGGAAATTTCAAGCAAGGATTCGGATCGATGAAGGGTCCTGGGAACTCCCAGCCAAATGCCTCAGGCGCGCCTCAGCCACCTAAGCACGCCTCAACCACATCTAGGCAAGTTTAAGCCTTCTTCCACGGGCGTAGGTGTTTCCACCTCCGCCCCGCCTCCAAAGCCGCCTAGGCGTGCCCCGAGGCGCATTTTTTAAAACATTTTATTAGGATGTAAAAAGGGGATATAAACAAAAAGTTCAATCAACTTTTAACGGGGTCACTTGTAGATCCAGCTTTGGTATAGACTGGAAGAAGATGTTGACTTGTACATACTGAATTTCAGGGTTATTGACAAGGACTACGGATAACCCCAATTCCAATTACTTTAAAGGCTTAACACAGTGATGACCTACAGACTAGGAATTTGAAACACTCTCATTTTGAATTTTGGAAAAAGCAGACTCCTCAAAATATCACAACAGAAATAAAAGCACAGAACTTACACAAAAATAGATTCCTCAAAACCCCGTCGCACAAGTCAACACCTTCAAGCACATGAGAAGCAATTTCTGGTGGAATAACTGGTGATGGTGGGCCTGTCATCAGGTCATCGCCGACCATAATAGTTTCCTCCATAGATGGCTGTGAATCAACTGAAGCCCAAAAAGGGAACAACAAAATGATGATTATAACTCAGTCACAATTTAGACAATAATCATTGCCTTGAAAATTTTCCGTCATTCTCATCAATACAAAAAAGGAAAAAGGAAAACATAACAAGATATTTTTGGACATGAAGTATTTCGATTGAGGTGAAAACCTCAAAGAAAGAGCTTGTTATTAATTGTGCAGACTGCAGGCAATAATTGAACAATCCGATACTGGAAAAACGCCATCAAGTAGCTGTTTCTAGGCAATGGTTTTTCCAAAACTCTTAATCAATTCAATAATGTGGAACAACCCCTAACCATCCATCAATAGATTAATGCTGAGAAAAAAATAATAAAGATGTGGAATGAGCCCTTGTCAAAGAAGAGTTCCCTTTTTTCAAATTTCATTTCCAAGCCACCGGAACCCAAAATCTCTAAGCATCAAATAGCCTATGCCAATTTATGTCTCAGCATATTTCTACATACAGGCAAGTATAATAAAGAAAGAAATCGTCCCGAGTGTAAAAAGTATAGACAATATGGGAAAATCAGACCGTTACTGCAGCACTAAGGGGTAATTTTCATCAATTAACGCATATGAAAAGTAAAAATCGTAAGAACGAACACACATAAATTACACACCAATGTAACAGTCTAGGCACATACCATCCATGGCTGCCTTCTTGTTTGTGACTTTCCACGAACACAACCCAAGCCCAAACAGACTTAAGTACCAAAAATCAGGCCAACCTGGAAATCAACGAAATGAAAGAAAATTGAGTAATTCTGTGAAGAGTGGTTGGGGCATTTCATCAAACACATTGAGGGCATTGGGACTCTCGTCCAAACCCAATTAAATCAGGTTGTCTGGATAATGTGAAGTGTGATGATAGAGGGAGAAAAGAACCAACCGGTAGGTAGTAGCAGAAATTGCAGTAAGGATTGATCAAAGCTACTTGTCGATACTGATGGAGGAGGAGCACTTCAATGACCAGAGACTGGTATTGTCATGAAGGGAGGCGTTCTCAAGTAGCAGCCGTTGGATCAGTTTCCAAGATTGCGATTAGAATTTTATTTATTATTTATTTATTTTTTTAACAAACAATATTATTACTAAGAGCACTTTCACTATAGGAAGCTTTTGGCCGCAGCTTAATCTTCTTGAATAAACAGTAACTGACATAGTAATTGTTAAGTGCATATCCACCTCTAAATTGTCAGGCAATTAGTATTAAAATATTGATATTTTTCATTTTTTAAAATAATAAAAGATAACATTATTTTTGGGGTGTGCTATCCACACACCCCTTTTTATTTCTCACATACTCCTTGTTAATTTCTGTCTGTTGATTGTTTTCAATTCATCCGATCCGACGCCCGAAAATCAAAAAGGTGTGGGAGAAGTAAAAAGGGATATGTGGATATCACACCCCTTATTTTTAATTTTGGATAATAATAAAAAAGTGGTTGAAAGTATTTGAAAATATTTGAATATAGTGTAAAGTGGAAGAACATGGCTAGGTAAATATAGAGTGGCGATTATTGCTTGACTTCTCCATGGGGCTCGCCTTGGGTTGAATTGCCTAAGTGGGCTGGAGTGTTTTGGGGAGTGAATTGGGTTGCCTATCCCTAAGCCTAAGTAATGGTGGAGTTGCTCTTCAATGATTCAGTGTAATTGATTGTCACACACTTTCTCTAGACCCAACCGCAACCATGGCAGACTGACACACCCTAACCCAAAAGGTCCACCTAGACTTCGAATCGAGCTGTGCTGGCCGACACCGGGAGGTGACGAAGGCATAAGTGTAGTGATGTGGAAAATGTGAGTAAATTTAAACCTAAAAGTGCCTAAATGCAAGAGTGGGCATGTGAACGGGAATGAACCAATTTCACACGTAATGTTAGCACATAAGTATAGTAAAAACAGGGTTCTAAAAATCGGCCTAAGCGCTGGGCGTGGTGGTACCGATGTGATTAGGTCCAAATCGTTAAGAAAAATCGGGGAGCTGTTAGGCGCCCGCCTAGGCGCTCTTAGGCGGGCTGGGCGGTCTAGGCGGAGGTCTGGGCGGAGTGAAATGATTTTCTGGGAAGAAATTCCAAACAGACCAAGAATCACTAAAGCTTTCTCCCGCTTCGACTCCCTCTCTCTGTGCACCACGATTTTCTTAGCTGTCTCGACTCAGTCTCTTTGAAATCCATCGAAGAAGGAGTACTTACAACTCAAAATAGAAGAAGAGAAAAAAAATGGAGAATTTATAGAGGAAAAATGGAAAGAAAAACAAGAAGAAGAGGAAATGGAAAGAAGACGAAGATGATGAGGAAAAGGAAATAATAAAAAAGAATATAAAGTTCCGGTTTTCTAGGCGTCAAAATGGTCTCGGAAGTCTCTAACTCTCTTTGCTGATGTAAGGGATATGGACTAGGGAATATGGATGGAAGGGAGGGGTCACACCACAGTGACCACACACGTGGTGCTTTATGAAATGGGGAAGGATGCATGTACCTTCTCTTCATTATGAACCAGCCAACCACTTTTATATTTTAAAAATTAGATATAATCATTCAAAATGTCTTAAGTTATATGGCATATATGTTTATTGTGTTTTTAAATTTTAGATTTGTTAAATAATTTTTTTTTTTTTTGTATTTTATCATTCTTTTATTATTTTATTCATGAATTTCATATAAGTATAATTTTTTTTATAAGTGTCAATATGCACTTATTTACAAGATATACAAAAAATTTACCTAAATCCGCCTAGGCCACCTAGGCGCCCGCCTAGACCTCGCCTAGCCGTCTAGGCGCTGGGCGCCAGCCCGCCGCCCGACTAGCACCTAGCGTTTTTTAGAACCTTGAGTAAAAGTAGAATGAGAATTATACCATCAAAGGTAATATTCTATTCCAACATTTGCCAAAAATCCTCGTTGACATGAAAGCTCTGCCACTAAAACCTGGAGGGGCAAAAATTAAGGGTGAGTGGGCCTAAAAATAAAGCTTTGTAAAAACCTTTTTGAAAACATAATAATCCCTTACTGTAAAACAAGTATAGTTTCCAAATATAACATACTACGTATAGATAAAAATAATTACCGTAGCTTGCAATATCTTAAGAATTCAATACGTCACAATATTTCGTAAATAAACACCTAATGTCCGGTAATCACATAATCTCGCATAACAAACATATCATATCGAGTGCTCATCGACATATGCTGACACACAAGTTCATGCAGAGATATTTTGACATGAACATGACTGGGTGCAACAATGATTTACCCTCTAGTACTACAATCACGTGAAGATTGGCACTATGCATATCACATACGAGTCCTAATTGCCTATAGCAATCTAGGACAGAACCGACACCTACAATGGATCTAAAGTGAGAGTGCGGTGCGATGTGAACATACACATGAAGCTTGGCCCTGGCCCGGGCAAGTACAAACACCAGTGTAGCACACGATGAGCAAAAAACGTAAATATGGTCATGCCACAGTAATTCGATAATTCTAGTCAACATAATACTATACATAGCCATAAATCTTATTAAGGCATCCTGTAAGATTATTTTATAATTTCGTAATTTCCGTCATTTCACTAATTCTTATAAACATTAATTTAATCTAGGCGTAACGTTTCTTTATTAATCATATATGGAAATTAAATAAATATATAATAATTAAAAGCAAATACCCACTCACAGATACTTGCGAGGCCACAACCGTTTGAACTAGGAAAGCCGGAGTCTCTGATAGTAATCACACCTAAGCATAATATTAGGACCCATTAGTAAAAATCAACTAAAATGGTTAAATTTGAGAAAATGGAGTGCAGGTTTGGAATTAGGATGTTGAAATATGCTAAAAAGGGTCCCCGGACATTTTTCGTAAAAAGTCAACAGTCAACCCAAAAAGTCAACCTAGCCGCCGAGGCGGCCAACTACGTTAAAGCTTTGAAATTTCACTAAATGGATGTCACAAATGGACTCGGGGCATTGAAATTAGCCTACGAGAGGTTTCGACGAAAACCCAAATGCACGTTTATGCATATTTTGACATGATGCCATTGTTGCAGTCCTATTATATTAGGAATGTGATTGTGCAAATCCTAGTATATCTTGGAATATCTCTCATATTCCTATTAGGAGTAGATTACCTAGTATATGTTGTAATCCTAAAGGGTAAGTAATTAACCTTCCTTACTATTATAAATAAAGGCATAATGGGGTGGAATAACACACACCCACAATTACACATCTCTATCTTCTTCTCTCTATGCCACACCTTCTCTCTCTATATGGCCTCCATAATTGTTCAGTAAATTATTCCTACAACACGTTATTAGCACACTCTTGACGCTGAACTAAAGAGAGTTTGATCTTCAATCTAGAGAGTATTACGCTTTAATCATTCTTTTTATGATTAATTTATTATTTTATTGAATTAATCTACATGCTATTGATTCAATTAATTTTTCTTTGTTGAACGTGATACAACGCATTGGATATGTAATTCTGGCTTTCTGCGAAGGATCTTCTACAAATTCAAAGACTTTTGTTGTTTTCTGCAAATCAGGTACCCTTAAAATAATGTAAGATATTTGAAATGACCTTGAAGCATGAAAACATTCCCCATGATGCATGAAACCCCCTATGTTTATATTTTCCTTCCAATATATATATTGTATATGTTTATATATTTGTCAATATATATATATATATTTGTTACATGCATTACGCAATTAAATTGCTATGTGGAATTGTGAGTCAATGTATATAAAATAAATTAGAAGCAATTCTAGGATTTCTTGAACCTTAACAAAATGGAAAAAAAAAAGGAAACAAAAAGGGGAAGTTGGGCTCTATTTCACACCCAGCCCGCGGCAAGCTTTGATTGCTGGGCCCTGTTGTCGCCCAGGCCTGTAGCTTGCCCACTCCGACACTAGCCCAGATGCTTGGGCTTGATTCCCCACGACCCGATATGACGCCAGCCATTAGGCTGCGCCACAACCAGGCTAGCTTGGTGCTGGGCCTGAGTCGCCCACACCTCTTGAAACCTAAACCAGCAGCTTGGACTGCTGTCTTTATTTCCCACCCAGGCCCGTGGCCTGCATCCCACTCCAGAGGCCATTTAGGGCCCTGCCTTTTACTCAAGGCATCCAACCCGAGCCCAAATATTTTTGGGGCAATATTTTTCGACCCAAATGCTATTATTTTAGCATTCTAAATAATTTTAACCTGTATGTTAATATTATTTTTGTTTCTACGATCGACCCCGAATGGTCCCGATATATTGAATTAATTAAAAGTGACCTGCAATCCATTAATTTGATAATGAATCCAAAATTATTGACCTGAAGATCACTTTTGGACATTAACGATTCAATAATTAATTTTTATATTTTAAACCATTGACATACTTTCGTAGTCCCGAAGCACTCACACTTGAGTTCTTGAAGAAACTCAAATCCACTACACTTAGTTGTATATTGCATTCTGTGTTCTTGCAGGAACTTTTCTTTTATGAACTAAACGTTTATAAACTAAATTAAACCTGTAGTTTCAAATTTAGTGCCTTTGAAACTCGAAGTTTTTATAAAACAATACACCCATGAAACCAAACGTTTTTCATGAAAGCCATGTCTTCGAACTCGAATGTTCTACCTTTGATGCTTATGGATGATTCATTCCCATAACACCAATCACAATCTTGTTCCCTTCAATTTGATGGATTGTCGAACCGTCACAAGTTTGATTTCCCTTAATTGGACGTTTCTAAAAGAAACCACTTTATGTGGGGTACAAGACGTGAATCTCCACTTGACTATCAAGAAGCTAAGAAACCATTGACGCCAACAATGGCAAGGAAGAGCTAAATAAGCCTCCACCATAAACTTCATTCGAAGACTTATGCCTGAAGCATTACAAAAGAAAGTACCTCCTGAACGAGGATTCCATGGCTCTTTAGCTTGCTCCTACAGACTGTCTAATCATGAAAGACATTGCCTGAAGCACACAATGATTACGTCCATGAATGAGTACAATTCTGAAGTTTATAAATCCGATCGAATTTTGACTAGAGAATACTTTTCTTGTCATTCCTTATGTTCTAACTCGTCCCTGAAGCAGTAATGTAGAAAAAAGATTATCAAATTCTTAGATCTGATTCTTACCATAAACATATGGTAGAATCAGGGCCTGCCAAGGTGTGGCATCATGCCCGAAGCGTGATCCTTGGCACCTAAGGCCTAAAACTTCAAGAATAAGGGATAATATTCCTGAACCTTAACCCTGCAGAATCTACTTCCGTATCAATGGAATAGATAATTGGTTATGCACCTGTTTGTGCCCCTACCAATGTTTTTGAGGAGTACCATTCTAGTAGTCAATATGTGAGACTAATTTTGCTTCACCAAACATCGTTGGAAGAGTAGAATTTTGACATGGATGGCCTTGCTGGCTGAATCCCGTTAGTAAACCATTTACTTTGTGATTTTTTGCCATGTTCTTGGATTCAAGTTTGGTGTATGTTTTACTTATGGATAATCTTATTGATATTGTCCTCGAATATGAGTTAATTGAATCATGTTTCTTAATATATGTGACCGATTCAATTAAACACGTGATTAAGTAGGAATGTTGGAAAGTTAGTTGTCTGGATGAATGCATACTACACACACTAACTTTACACCTAAATCACATCTTTAACAACGACTTCAGGACTATCTAACATGATTAAGTAGGAATGTGGCATGCTTCTCGTTGTATGAATGGTACTGAATTACCATTTAAGGGACCTTAAATTCTCCCTGTCGTTGAGTTTTTAAGGATATTTGAGATGACAATGATCATAAATGAAACCACCGAAGAACATAGAGTGGAATATCTTTACACTACCTCCAAGAATAGCCTGAAGCTTTGATTTGGGACCAATGAGTTGTCTCCTAACTGGAAACATGCCACATGTGGCCGGCCTAGAGCCGGGTGATTGAGCAGTTTACTTGCTTTAGCATGACCATTTGGGACACTTAGGTCGAACAATGATTTTAGGGTTTTTTTACAGTTTATCTTTTAGGTAATGAATTTGATGCGCTCTACTGCAGCTTTGAGGATGTATATATGCGTTTGTATTTAGTATTTCTAAGTCAATTTTAGTTTTTTTTTTTACTTCTTCCTTTGAAATCTTCATTGTGCATTTTTTAAATTTTGGTCAGATTAGGAGTTTCAATTTTGATTATCTTAATGTGCTATACATGTGCTATGGTAATTTAAAAAAAAATTATTTGTTTTCATTCTCAGGATATTTTCAAGAATACCCACAAAAAAAGAAGAAGGAACTACCTATTGATAAGATCCCAAACAAAACGTGTCTCTATTTTACATTTGGTTGGGAGATATCTATCGGAGTAAAAACTACTGATCTAAGCCAACTGATTCTCAAAGAGTGGAAAAAGAAGAAGCATGAGTAGTATCTATTCTAAATTCGTTATTAAATTTGTTACAAAAAATTCTAACATTATATATACCTTCAATATATAGGTGGCGCATGAAAAAGGTTGTAGAAGAATTAAAACCTTCAACAACTCCTCCCATGATCACATCATACGTATTTGGAATAAAGTCGAACAAATTAGGTACAATACCATTTCTTACCTATTTATTTTTAATGGCATTCTCTGTATCATTCTATGTCACATCCCGGCCCGGGGCGGACCACTTCCCGGGCCCGCTCCACCACCGTAGCACGATATTGTCCGCTTTGGGCCCCGACTACGCCCTCACGGTTTTGTTTCTGGGAACTCACGAGCAACTTCCCAGTAGGTCACCCATCCTGGGAGTGCTCTGGCCTCCTACTCGCTTAACTTCGGAGTTCCTACGGAACCCGAAGCCAGTGAGCTCCCAAAAAGCCTCGTGCTAGGTAGGGATGAGAATATACATTTAAGGATCACTCTCCTGGGCGATGTGGGATGTTACATTCTACAAATTAATTATCTCAAATTATAAAAAAAAAAAATCTACAAATTAATTTTCTCAAATTATAAAAAACAATATATGGGTGCAGGAAAAAGATTAATAGTGACCAAACAACTTTTCTAAATACAGTAAGTCTTCTCTTATTTTCATACGGAAGTATATTATAATTTCAAATTGCATTCAATTTTCAAATAGAAATAAAATTGCATTTTTTGTCAGTTTTACAAGCATCACACCTATCTCAAAGTACAAAGGTTGAAGTACAAGATTAGGTAACATTTCATACCATTTAATTTTGTAAACACGATTACAGTTTATTACCTCAAACTTGACAAATTATTTATCTTTCAATATCCTAAAAGTAACTGAAGTAAAAGTATTGCCATGAGAAAATTGTCAAAGTTAAAGGTATTTCGGTTAAATTGCTTACAACCTTTATATTTGGGATTGTGCATTATAGTTAGACTTCTTATTTAATCATCATTGCTTGCAGATTAACCATGAAAATCTAAAGCATCAAGTGCAAGCAAATGGGCTGCAAGCATGACTTTGATTTCACATGTAGACGCTATGTTTACATATGTACATGTTTTACATATTTTGCTTTGCTTATATTAGGAGTTCATCCCTAGCTAGCCTATAACTTTGATTGAAAACTTATGAATCTGAAAATTTTGATTTAAGGACATTAAATGTTATCAGCATGTATTTAGAAATGAAATTACATATCATCTTTTAGATTTTTTTTAATAGTTTATGTTTTCCCATTTTATCTTCGTTGTTGTTTTAAAGGAAAAATAGTAAAAATTGTATGAGAGATTACTCACATATGTGCAAATTGGATGGAATACATGTTGCTAAATTCTTCAACGGCCGTGGCAATATGACAATATGGCATGCATAATGATAACATCATTATCATAGTAAACAAAAATGAAATCCACCATTTTTAATCCCTCATTGACTAAGGAACCCAATTGTTGATTTTAAGGAACCTAACTCTCGATTTTCTTCTTGTACAATATATAAGGGTAAAATGATATTGATGGATATAAGAGAATTCTAACTACACTGATTAACTTAATTTTTTTTGGTTAATCAGTAATTACCAAAGTGATAATAATGACCAAGCATAGTTCAGTACATGAAACCAAATTCTATCAGCCAAACAAAAAAAATGACACCATAATAATCAGCAAGCAAAAAAAAAAAGTGGAATGGTTTGCAATTCATAAATTTCATTTTTTTCTGTACAATGGGCGGGTGCAAAAAGACTAAGTTAGATGATTGAAAATAATAAAAAATTGTTGTGATGGGCACACACCCACAATTTATAAAATAATCACTTAAGAAATATAAGAATATCTAAAACAACACATCTTTGGGGCGCGTAGCACCCGTGATGCAAAAATGCCTCTTGCACACACGTTAGAGAGGCTACAAATGTGTTTTCTTCAATTTAATAAAATTACAGTGAACAACACATTAGTCTGTTTTATTTTTTTTGCTTTTTTTGTGCGTGCAACAACACAGTGCAAGGGTTAGAATATATATGTTGCATAATATAACGTGTAGAAGTTACAGGTATGTTTGTGTTTCTTCTATTTTGAGTTCAAAATCAACGTCATAATTTCAAGCTTTCTTCAATTTTGAGTTCAAAATCAACGTCATAATTTCAAGCACTTCATCTCATAGCTAATAATGACAATTGACATGCCAAAGAGATGAAAGAATTCAAGAGATTTAAGGCACTTGAATTCACCAATGGGGCTGGAGTCGTCTTTGAAATTAGAAAGCAGCAGAATTTGTCCTCTCTGAGAGAAATTTAGTTCTTCTCTTTAAGTAGGACCACCCTCCCTCAAGGTCCTATCGATAAATATGAATGTTTTCAAAGTTACCTGCCAATGACTAACACGAAAATAATACAAAGTTTAACAGGAATCAAAACATAAGTATGCATATTATCCATAAGACAACGGTGATTCACATACAGCTGATAAGAAAACTATCATATAAGCGTTGCATCGTCCCATGTAAATTGGGACAACATTGAATCGGACCGAGGATCACTGATTTCACTTCAGAATAGTTAAAAATACATAAACTTATTTTTATGAGTAATTATGCAGTCAAACTCTTCTATTTCCTTTCTTGCTCTTCTGTAGTATCACAAAGTGGAGCACCACTGGAAAACGATTAAACACTGCCTCAAACAACAAACACCAAAGCATGCCTAACCAATGAGGTTGCACGCACAGATCCTCACACATGTGGGGAACGACTATGTTGTGTAAATCATCAACACATTGTATGTAGTGAGGCAGTGAAAGGACTACCTTGGTTCTTAGATGTTTAAGCTAATAAGCAATTTCTAAGTTAATAAGCAAGCAAGACATCGATATTTCAAAATCCCATGACTTTCGGCAAGTACTTACTAAATCTTAAGTCCATATAACAACTCAAAACATTTTGAATTCAACTAAGAGAGAAAGCTAGCAATCATACGTTAGCTAACCCAACAACAAGGACTTCGATCGACACAAAGGTCTGAATATGATCAACATTAACAAAAAATCCCACTTGCTAAAATCAATCCAATACTAGTTTCACAATTACAAAATGTGTTAAAAACCAAAAATGGACGAAAAAGCAAAGAAGAAGCATTCAAGAGATTATGGTATTTAAATAATTAGATGAAGTGGACAGAGATCAGTAAAAAGTTGGGGAGGGAAGTGATAATCTCTGCAGTGGTTGCTCAGTAATAAACAATGACACCAAAAAAGGACTGTAAAATTATAAAACCATCCGAAAATTTGAATTAAGCCAAGAAGTGGTTTTTTGTTATTTATCTTAGATGGTTTGTAAAATGAAAATGAACCAAATCAATATGTCCCTTTCGTATAACTAAATGACCCCCAAGGTCACTCAAACCATCTTCATCACTTCTTCATTTGCCAAGACAGTACCAAGAGCAGGGCACCAATTAACTAGCACTTCAGCATGAATGTAACAAAGTAGAGTATTAGATATGTGCAATGGTGAAAATGATAGAAACCATCACCGCCGATATCTCATTTATACCTGATACGCCAATCCTATCTTTAATAGCTGAAGAAAGATCCATTGGGTCTGTTGTGGGTTTTTTTTTTGGGTTGAAAGAAATGGTTCATAATTACAAGCAGAGGGATGCCCAGCACACCCAAACAACAGAAGCAAAGGAAAATAGGACATCGAAGACGCCACCACACAGGTCACCAGCTCGTACATTTGTGAGTCATTATGAGTCATGTGTTGACAACAATTGAAGACCATGTGAATGCTACAAGGAAATGGCAGCAACCGTGACTTTGTGTTTGCTTGCATGCAATTGTGCATGATTTCTCTTCTATGCATTAAATGGCAAATGGAGAAAAAGTTGTACTCTAAGGGCTAGGTTGGTGCATGCTAGGTAGGCTAGGTGATGATTATGTCATGTGAACTTAAGATTTTTTGTCTTGGTTGTTGGCGTAGTTACTAGTGTATGCCTATAACTAGATGCAATATTTGTGCATTTAGTCTTGGAAAGTGGGAAGGCAAGCATCATGGAAGCATCCAAGGGGGAGAGCATCCGGCTCTCCCATGGGAAAGGTTGAACATGGGTTGAATGAAAATCAAGAGAGCTAGAGTTAAAAGTCTTCTAGTGAAAGAACTCTTGTGGAGAGTGAAGCTCTTGGGAAAATTCTGTGAGTGGGTGTACAAGGGATTTGGGATTGGGTTATGTCGATTTAACTCATGTGTAACTTATATTGTTATTCTCATAGTGAAGAGTAATATCTCTCTGGGGACGTACGTAGGCAGGATTTTGCCGAACATCGTAATTCTCTTGGTGTCTTTATGTCTTGTATTTTAAACTGTTCAATTATAGGTCTGTATATTGGTGGTGAGATAATCTGAATGTTGCTTCTGCACTGATGAACATGCCAAGGCATAACAGGGTCCATGTATAATATTCTGGTTCTGTTGTAGAAATTTCACTATCCCAGTCATATGAAAATCCTATTGACTTAAGCTGCAAGAAAATACAAAATGTCATATATAGGGAACAAATAATACAGTATAAAAATCGAAAAATGGACCAAAAAGCGAAGAAGAGCATTCAAAAGATTAAGGCATTAAATAACTAGACGAAGTGGACAGCGATCACTAAAAAGTTGGGGAGGGAAGTCATACTCTCTGCAGTGAGGCAGTAAAAAATGAGTCCAACAAATCCAATCTATGCCCTTTTGAGTATTGGCTACTGTGTCACACAGTCCCAGTATTGAAAAATTTTCCAATTTCATATTTCCGGTAAATGTGTGAATCCCATTTAAATAATTACAATTGAAAGAAAATTCAATGAGAAAAACGTAGGAAAAGTAAGCATTGAAACTCTTCAATGGAAAAGGAGAAGGCAAGGATTTCTGTTTCGTTCCGTTTAGGGTTTTAGAGAGTGAGGGAGGTCTCCATCGCAACAACTTTATTTCCAGCCATATAAATCGAAGCATAAACCCTACAAACTTCAATTACAGATATGAAGGATTATAAATGAACCTGTGCCCTGAAAATTTTGATATTTAATTTTTTTTTTTCCATGAAAATTGAAAGGGAAGCGGATGATTGAAATGGAAGAGAGACAAAAGCCCAATCACATACTCGAAGGAAACACGACATATAGCTATAAACATACCTTGTCGACCTTCTCTTAAGCTTTAGGTATCGAAATTGCATTTACTGTAAAACTGAACTGCAATGAAACCCAATGAGGGGAATCAGTGATCAAAACAACATCCTTCCCTGAACGTGGTGATTCAGTTTCAGCTGCAACAATCCTTCCCTGAAAGAACAATCCTTCCTTGAAGGTACAATCCTTCCCTGAAAGTATAGACCGTATGCTAGCAGCCTAAAATCCCAAAAACGCAAAACTTATCACTAAAAAATTCAAACTTTGATGCGATTTCACAAATTGGGATCAATAATCTTAAAACCCAGTTCGATTTTTCATTGCTTGGACGGAGAAAATTGAGGAATGAAAGAACAAATTCAGGTTATGACTGAACTTGGCACCTGACCAGAGACAGTTGGCCGAGGCCGGTGTTGTAGAGAACTTGAGAAACCTTATCGGGCATGCCAAAGGACGTATACAAAATGCTTTCTTTGGTGAAAAACGTATCTCTTCTGTCCTTCTGGTACAAGCGGCGGTGGTGGCGGTTCCGAACTGGCGGGCGTGGCTGAGTCAGAGCAACCTGATTCTAAACGAAGACGAAGAATTAGAGGGGAGAAGAGTGCTCGAATTGGGAGCCGGCCTTGGGTGATGTACAAAGATCAAGATTTTGTAACTGAACAAATGAAGCGGAGAATTTACGACAAAAGGGCGTGGGGGGTTTGAAAACTGAATGGAACTGCTATGTAGAAAACTGTTGGAACCTAAATTGCTTTTCCAAGGATCGAAGGCAGCAAGTGAAGCTCCAAGTAATGAGTTGCTGCATAATCGAAGAAGAAAGAGGAAGAACAAGGGTTTTGACTCTAACGACTAGTTTTTCTTGAAGCTTTTGTTTGTGTAAATGAGGGGCAAATGTATACTCCAGCTTAGATCACTTAAAAATTTCAATGAAGGGCTATGATTAAATTTGGAGAAGGTTTGGTGTAATTCATGAACCCAGATCCTCCCTGGATCTAAAAAAATAAGCCTAAGGATCAAATGATCCGGGTCATTGAAATTTGATCCAACAGCTATAATTATTATAACTTTTAGAGGGCCCCCTATTTGTAGCCATTGGATTAAATTTCAACATCCCGGATCATTTGATCCTTAGGCTCAGTTTTTTTAGATCCGGAGAGGATCTAAGTTCGTAATTCATAATACATGTTTGTCTCCTAGCACATTTAGAGATAAGTTTGTGAGTTGACAATGTACCAAAACCCTGCAAACATTCTCTATATAAATCAAAATATGGCTCATGCATTTGCATAGCCTTGTAGCCATCACAAACTTGCAACATTCCTTATCTCCCTTGTTCATTTCAAATCCTTAGAAAACTAATCATATAGTGAATCAAAACATACAAAAGACACAAACTTTATCATGGCTGGTGTAAACTTGCAAGTGCACAAGAATATTGGAATATAATGGCTTACAAGTCCAAGTGTGGTTCCCACAAAGATTCTTACTTAATCTATATTTGATAACCTAAAGAAAATCTAATTAAACAAACACCAATTAGACTCAATCTAAACTAAATATTTCAATGAAATTGTAGAGAATAATGAATATTTGATTTTAAGCAAACGAAAACAATATTAAAAAGAAAAGTAAACAGAAAGTAGTATGAGATGATAACATTGAAAATTGAGATTTGACAAACAATGGAGAAAGTCTAGGGATTCAGAATCAACCAAAAGCAATCAGGTTTAGGTTTCAATGCATTCAACGGATCGTTCGATTCTTTAGATGATAATTCCCATATCTAAGTCCTTGTCAAGCACATTAGACCATAGTTTTCCTTAAGTGAATGATTCTCTCCAAATTCAGGCAGAGATTGTATATCCTAACATACAGTCTATCCTGATTATGGCATAAATTTAACAAGTAGGACTCTTTACGCTTTAGAAAACAAGGGAACCAAGCGAACCATTATTCTTTGTCAAGCAATATTGTAATTTAACACACTAAACAACAAGAAGCTAATTGAATTATATTGCTAGTTCAGCCTCAAATTCATCTTCCAATCTTACTAGATGCAAAGTTCTAAGGTAATCAATCAGAGAACTCAAACAAAGAGTAGCAATTCAAGTAGTGATTAAGCATTCATCTGAAAGAAACTAGAAATCCAATGAATAACATTAAAAACCATCAACATCCATGCTAGAGCATCATCCTAACCCTAGAAAAAGAATTTAGTTACTCATAGAATACGAAAACATAAATAAAAATCTTAAAAACACGAAAAACTTTCGAACGATGAAGATGGATATGAAAGATGGTTGGCGGCTGTGATCTCTCATTTGCTCCTTGGACTCCCAAAATCACGTTCCCCAAACCTTCTCCAAAATATCCCTGTCTCCTTTTTATATAAAAGTCTGAAATCCTTACTTAAATAGGACTCTTTAATTCTCTTCTTACTTGGATTGGAATATTGATGATGTGGCACAGCAAACTAGTAAATATATTAACTATGAACCTTTTAGGATAGTCTTGAGCTCTTCTAATAGCTCTCCTTTTACTCCGCACGTTTCCTTTTATTAAAATTTGTAACTCTGAAATCTCTTTGCAAATCCCGCGTAAGCATTGCTGGCAGGCGTCCGGTACAAGAATCACTATAACATCTTCTAGGAAACTTGGAATCATGAACTGTAAAATTCCTCTGAAAGCTAACTTCCATATCTTTCCAATGGTACAAGGCTGAACAGATGGTTCATTCTGAGGAAGTACAGTTTAATTCGTAAAGTTGGCTGATCTGCACAAACAGCTTCTGGTTCCAGCATGCCAAACTCATTTCAATCGCAAAAGTGTTCCGTTTTCTTCTTTCTTCATCTTCACCCTTCAAATCTAAGAAAAACATAAAACTAAGTGAAACAAACTAAATTCACTCAAAAACATAACAAGAATCTAAAATAAGGGGAATGAAAATGTATGCAATTATGATTATATCAAATACCCCCAAACTTAGACTTTGCTTGTCCTCAAGCAAACACAATAATGACTCCAAATATATATATTTTTTTACAAACACAAAATATATAAGATTTCCAAAGAGATTCCTCTGTAAAATATAGCTCAAAGAATAGAGAAACATTGTAAGGATTCTACTCATGATTCAAAAGTTACAACACCTTACACAACCATTCTTCCATTATGTATATGACTAGCCAATAATTAGCATAACGCTTGCAACTCGGATAAGTATATGGAAACAAGTGTGATATGAGTGATCTTTGGATAATGAATGTATCGAACCTCATAGGCTTGCTCTTCATATCATCTCTCCACTAATGTAAATCAATGCAATACCAAAGATCAAATAGACTTTACAAAGGTTGTAACGTTAGGCTAGGTTATTGGCTAGAACTTGAGATATACCAAGACTTCTTCATATGTAATTTGGTCGAGCCTCTTTTGAAATATGAGTCTTGGCGTCCAGGACTCATTTTGTAGGAATGGAACAATTTCAAACTTTTCATTTTGTTTTGTTTTTTTTTGTTTTTGTTTTTTTGTTTTGTTTTGTTTTGTTTTTTTTTAAGTTGAGTAGTAATATGACACATGGTACCTTGGTACACGCCTCTTCTTAAATGTAGAACTCGGGCTTGATCTCTTTTATCATCTTGGTATTATCTCAAGCTATAAGGTATGGCTAATACATGTTCAATTGGTAGGGTTTAATGTGGTGATGGAAGAAAAAGCTATGTGTTTGGCTTCAAATGGCTAACTAGGGATAACACAAAAGGATGGGTATAGAAAGGATCAAACGGTCCAAAAATGGCCAAAATCGTCTCCCCAATGTTACATGACTTAGGATTTCACCTCGAGAGATATTGAAGCAAGTTCTAGTGTTCGTTGAGATCTTTATGATTACTTAATCCGCATATAATTCTCTAAGCAAGCAACAATTGCATTAACATTGGCTATGTACATGAAAGGGTGTAAAGAGTGATCATATAAAGCATAGCTAACCCAAGAATCAAACAAAGAACACAAACAATGCTTATCGATTTCTTAGAACCATATTTAAGTAGCAACCAAGTTATTATCATTGAATTTGGAAAGGACTAGCCAACACGACTGAGAGAAGAGAAAAAATATTTTTTATTTTTTTATTTTTCTGTTTTTATGAATTTTTTTTAGACACTAATGACACAATAGAACAACTAACAAAAACTAAAATTTAAGACTTGAAAACGAAGACTTCATGTTAGTAATAACCAATTTCTGACCTCTGTTCTGTTTTTTTACATATATCTTGCAAACTAGTTGGCAGAATTCAACGTTCTTTAAATGGTTGGATTCAGAATGAAAAATTAAAGAACGGAACGCAGACCAAAACTCAGAAACGGCAACAGATTGTTCCAGAATTTAATAAAATAGAGAGCCTACGTTTACTGACAAAAAAAAAAAAAAAAAACCTAACTAACTAACTAGAAAACTATCAAAATGAGATCCCTCTCCCAAACTTGAATATCACGTTGTCCTCAATGTGAAGTGAAATACAAGGCATGCAATGAGTTAAACAAGTAAGGAAAAGTAGAATTGAATAAAAATAATATGAAACATAAAGAGTAGTTTTAGAACTCCCCTGGCTAAGTGATCGCTGAAACGAGACTTGCCGCACACACCAGCTCCATCTTCATGCATCAAATGCTTGGGTTGCCTCCTAAGAAGTGCTAAATTTAAAGTCTTCAGCCAGACTCAGCGACCTTTAAATGAATGGAGGATCATTAAGGTATGCTACCTCAATAGTTTTGGTCTTTGACAAAGTTTCTAGATTCTCTAAATATGGTTTAAGATGATGCCCATTCACTTTGAATATGGAACCAGTTTTTATGTCTTGAATTTCTACTGCTCTATGTGGAAATACTTGAACAACTAGAAAAGGGCCAGACCATCTAGAACGCAGCTTCCCGGGAAACAATCAAAGCCTTGAGTTGAACAATAACACCTTTTGATGTGGCTCAAAATGTTTGGGAATTAAAGCCTTGTCATGAGCAATCTTTGCCTTTTCTTTATAAATGTTAGCATTCTCATAAGCTTCATTTGTGAAACCCCGTCCCAGATTTGGTGTATTTTCATAGTAACGGACTTATGAAATTACCATTTTGCCCTTGAGTTGACTTTGTTTGACTGTCTCGTCGAAACGTGTAGTTTTAATTTTATTAAATTATTCTTAATGTACTTATCATCACGAATGTAGATGCGAACGGATTCAAATTCGGATGTATAACGAAGATTCTACATTTGAACCGTTGATCGTTTTCAAATATTTTGCAGTTTGTATTTTACATTCTTAAATTACGAAACAAGGGGACCCACTTGGGATTCTTGTCCCCTTACCCTTTCACCCTATTCGGATTCCCCCCCCCTCTCACTTCATGGATTTTCTTTTCTTTATTAACTCTCTCTCTCTCTCTCCCCATCACATTCTCTATTTTTCTCAAACTCTCTCCCCTCTCCCCCGAATGCTCTTTGCAAGAACTCCCTCCCCTCTCTGAAAATCAAACACACAACAATCACCACCACCACCTAGAGTTGAGACCTTGAAAATCCTAGGCCAAGTTGGTACTCCACCGTGATAGTCACGGTGCATACTCCCCTGACGATCTTCGACGTACTTTGTAAATTTCCTGACGTAGGTAAGTTTCTAGAAACTCTTGGGATGTGTTTTAAGGTTAGATCAAAGCTTGTTTTAAGTTGTACATACATGTTAATCAAAGAAAATAGCTCAGAGTAGCTTTGTTTAGTTTTTCGGCAAGCACTGCAACTTTTGAGGCGTTTTCCAGCCAAACCATGGCAAGTTAATTGTCGTGCAAGGTACCATTCTCTTCATCTCGTTGAGTACTACAACTTTCATTTTTGAATCACTTGATTTGGTTGAGTACCGGAGAAGTTATGAGCGTTTGAAACGTTACCCTGAAACCGGACAACCCTTGGCCTGAAACCGGGTCGACCCGACCCAAACCCTCAAACTCGGATCCAAACCCATCCCAGAAATCGATCCAAACCTTTGCGTCGGGCTACCAAGTGCAAACTCATTTCTGCAACCCAAGCCTTCTGCTCAATAGGCCCAGCCCATAAACCTTTGCAACCCAACCCAGATTCCCTTGGGCCAGGCCACCAAACCCAAACCAAAACCAAGCCCAAAAAACCCAGAACTGAACTAGCCCAACCTTGAACCTAGTCGGCACGTAAGCCTGCTTATAGGTGCCTGCTTTGGCCGGTGTGTGGAGCATACGCGCCTCCATCCAAGATAATGTGCTTAGCTGCCTTCTACGGTGGTGCCGATGACTTTTTCGGCCAACTTTCCGGTGACCCAAATTGACGCGTGGCCGTCCAGGCTGCCGCCCTGTGGCATCACGTGAGGGCGGCAGTGCGTGGGGGTACCCGAGGTCTCCCTTTATGTTTTTCAATGTCTTGAATTTGTTTATGACGTTTGTTTTATGAAATTCAATCGTTATAGTAGAGTTTTATTAAATGGACCCTTATGTGTTTAGGTGCGTTTGTTAGTGGTGTTTCCGTTCTTCCTATTTCGCACGGTTCTTCGACTACGGAGTATCTGTGAGTGGATCTTTTCCAAAATGCATGATTTTACTATTAGAAATGCATACATGAAAAAAATGATTTAATGGTTGCGTTTTATGAAACGTTTATAAGTAAATTGGTTTCACGCTTTATGAATTATCACGCTTTATCAACTTGACTTTCTTTGTGGTATATATGATGATTATATACTATGAACATGATTTAAAATCTGATGTTTGAGCTGAGCTCCGTTGAGATATATACTTATATTCTGGAAATATTATGTTCAATAATTTTTGTGCTTATTTAGTGGTTACTCATACAATCTACCTACGGGCAAATGATACTGCCTACGGGCGAATGATCCTACCTACAGGCGAATGAAGATATAGTCCTACCTACGTGCAAATGAAATCATTAATTGGCTTCGGTCAGGTTATGTAGGGCCTACGGGTGAATGATACTGCCTTCGGGAGATTATGATACCACTGCTTAGCACACTATATATGATATATGTTTTTTGAAGTTTTAAGGCATGCTAGGGTTTTTGGAAAACCTATTACATATTATGTTACCGGGTTTTCATAAACTTTGGGGGTTAGTACGTTGAAGTTAACTGTTTTAGTATTACTTAGATATCAACTTGGTCTACTCATGTTTTGTTTTGCGCCCCCTCAGGATCTAGGAACGAGGCATTCCCTTACCAGTGATTCTGTGTCATCCTCTATGTTGTTGACATTTCTTGTAATAACACTTTCTGTTATACCTTCCGCTTATATTATGAATTAGATGTATGCTCTGAACATGTCATGCATTATCACTATCATTTTATTAACGGCTGAATATTATTACTTAATTTTGGTAAGGTTTGTATCTGAATATTACATTGCGTAGTTCGCGTGAAATTTATATGCATGTTTCTCATGTTCTTGGCATATGCATTCATTAAATGGCTAATGTCACCCTTGAGTGTCGACCAGCATGTGGCCATCCCGCTGTTATTCAGACATCGGGATTGGGACGTGTTATCATTCCTCAATTCATCCAATTCTTTTAATTGAACCTTTCGCAAAGTCCTTGCTTGGTTGATGTCGGAATTCAACTTCTTTAATGCCCAGAATACTCGATGTTCCAGTTCCACTGGAAGATGACATGCTTTCCCGAAGACAAGCCAAGAAGGAGGCATGTCTAAGGGAGTTTTAAAAGTTGTCCTATATGCCCAACATACATCACTTAATTTACTGGCCCAATCTTTGCGGTTTTGACTCACTGTCTTCTCGAGAATATGCTTTATTTCTTTATTTGAAACTTCAACTTGTCCGCTTGTTTGAGGATGGTATGGAGTAGCAACTTTATGAGTAATGTTATACTTCTTCATGAAAGCTTCAAACGGCTTGTTGATGAAGTGAGAAGCACCATCACTAATGATCGTTCTAGGTGTGCCAAATCAAGTAAAGATGTTCTCTTTCAAAAAGTTTAACACAACCCTATGATCGTTAGTTTTTGTAGGCATTGCTTCCACCTATTTAGAGACATAATCTATTGCCACAATGATGTACAAATATCCATTCGACATAGGGAACGGGCCCATGAAATCGATTCCCCACACATCAAACAATTCAAATTCCAAAATGTTGGTTAATGGCATCTGTGTCCTCGAAGAAATATTCCCCATTCTTTGGCACCTATCACAAGCAATGAAAAAAGCATATGCATCCTTAAATAACATAGGCCAATAGAATCCACTTTGTAATACCTTTAACAATGTCTTCTTTGCACCAAAGTGACCTCCACAAGCATGAGAATGACAAAAAGTGAGAATGCTATGAACTTCAGAGTGAGACACACACCTTCTTATGATCTGATCCGAACAATGCTTGAATAAATAGGGATCATCCCAATAGTATTGCTTCACAGTTAATAGAAACCGCTTCCTTTGTTGTTTTGACCATTCCAGCGACAGAAACTGCTTTGCCAAGTATGGGATTTCTACAACGGAAAATAGTTGCTCATCTGGGAATGATTCATTGATAAGAACAGCATCCCTGCCATGTACCAATCTGGAAAAATGATCCACCATAACATTTTCAACCCTTTTTTTTATCTATAATATCAAGATCGAACTCTTGCATTAGTAGAATCCATCTTAGAAGTCTGGGCTTTGCATCCTTCTTGGTTAAGAAATATCGAAGGGCTGCATGATCAGAAAATATAATCACTTTTGTTCAACATCTTTTAGTACACCACTGCAGTTATATTCTCTAAACTTTTTAACTTTTTATATTTACTTTTTGAATTCAAGTTTATGGGTTAATTAACATGGTTTTACATTTGCATCATAACAACTGCTATATGCAAAATTTGGACCACAGAAATCAACAAAATAAAAGTGGGTCTTAAGTAATGTACCAAGATAAGCTAGTTTTTGTTTGTGTTGGGAAGAAGATAAGGTAGCTGTCTATAATATCACATTGTTCGTTTATATATTAATAAATGAAACATGTAAAGTCCAATGCCTACATGTTCATTGGAAAATGTCATGCATGATAAATGATATGAGTAGATTACTAAGGGAGCTGTTGTAGCACACAAACGTAACGCTTAACTGTAATTTCTGTAAGCTAATCAAAGAAGAATCAACGGGCATAAACAACGGAATAAGTGCAGAAGCGGAAATCATTACCCATTTGAATATCGTCTCCTTAAAAATTCTGTATGAGTATACATCTCATGTAAGCCAAAAATAATTACAGTTTACATGCATCTGTTGTAATTGGCTAAAAACATGAGAGAGACTGAACAGTCTAGCGCAAGTCCGATACCAGTCGTATAGACGAAATACAGGAAAGCAGAAATTAGCAATCAAACGCTAAGCTTGGCGCGGAAATCTGTGCTTACAAATGGTTCAATAATTTCGTCTAAGCAGGCCATCCGTATCCGTTCAGGTGTCGCGGGATTATCAAGTGGAAACCACTCATTAGACCCTACTTCTGCTCTTGCAGCTCTTATGGCGTCTTTGATGCCGAAGAAGACGGCTGATGCCAAGAAAAATGGTGGCTCACCAACAGCCTTAGATGAGTGGATGGCCTTCACATTTGGATGGCCCTGTCAATTAGTAAAGGAAACAACAAACAAGTCAGCAGAAAGAATCATTAACCTACGCTGGGTGGCCAAGTAAATTCGATCTCGATAAATACAATTGCTAAGCAAAGAATTAAAGCTTTTCCAAACAGAAGCTAACTATCCTATCCAATTAACTGACTCAAAAGGAAACCTTTCCTCCACCGAACTAACTATTTTCATAGTTTTTCTATCACTGCGTCCCAAAAACACGAAGCACACGTGTTACCACTCAATGGAAGCCTTAAGTAGTTCAAGGGACATTCACCAACCACAAAACCCAAGCTACTTGCTAATGATAGACAAATTAACCCAAGGACATTCATTGACATCTAGAACCGCACCCGTAATACTCGTAGACAAATTACCTTCCAGAGTAACCTTTAATTGGATAACATGCTCTTCTAAAGTAATCAGCATACCTTCAGAAGTGAAACGCTGAATTTGAAGGGGACATCATTAATGGAAGGAATCTTGTAATTTCCCGGCCCAGATGTGTAGAGGCAACCGGGTGAGATCCATTTATGAGCAGGATCGCCCCACTTTAGTTCTTCTAGAGCTACCCATCCCAAACCTTGTACAAATGCTCCTTCAATCTGCATAAGAAACATAATATTTATTGCGGTCGAATTGAAATAAATCACCAAGTTCAACCACCCCCTCCCCCATTTCATAAACAACACTAAAAAAACAGCAAGATTGGAAGTCTGAAACTAGATCGGGATCCAGGAGTTTGTTAGCATCTGCATTAATTTAGATGACTAAAGTAACAGATCACAAATACACTGAATAGTTTACCACATAAAATGGAAATGTTCTCTTTCTAGGCAAGTGCCTATATTGTATGAAACGTAGGCCAGAGATCAGATTGATTATTTCCTCGTCTCTCGCCAGACAAATGGTTATGTTGCCATACTGTGAATCTGGACTACACATTCTGACAAGAATCAATCTCTCTTTCACTCTTACGTATTCGTATTTATGTGTCTATGTATATCTATAGTTATGCAACATTTAGCATCAGTTCTAGCCCGATTTATTCCTATTGAAATAAACCATACCCAACATGGGATTACTAAACATAACTTAAGAATACCAGACGCAGTTCTGTTTATGAAATATAGCCCATTGCAAGTTTGCAACATAGAGATCCCTAAAAAATGGGCTTCAGTAAGCATTGTTTGAGATAGTGCTAAACTTTCCATATCTTGAGGATCTTTACTGATAAATTAAATAATGATACTAAAAAGAAAAATGGAGAAAGAAAAAACACCTGCCCAACATCAATTGCGGGGTTGAGAGAGTAACCAAGATCCAAGAATACGTTAGCCACTCTAGTGTGAAAATCTCCCGTCAATGTATCAATTTCAACCTCAGCAAAAGCAGCCCCATATGTGAAGTAGTTGAATGGGTTCCCTTTACCAGTTGTCCAATCAAAGTCAATTTCCGGTGTAATGTAAAACCCATGAGCAGAAAGATCTATCCGTTCCACATAGCATGCACTTGCCAGCTGACAATAATTATGAAACATGAAGCTAACATAAGTTTTGTACCATTAGAAATTTTCAGTGCAAAATGCTCACATAAGAGTCCAAGTATGGTTTAGGGTTCAGGATTCAGGGGAGGAAAATGTTCACAGAAGTTTGTGACTGATAAAATATTATAGATCACCCTAAGGTATAAGCAATTAATAACCCATGCAACAAAAACTTTATCTTGGAACAAGACTTCTAATCAAGCACAATGTTTTTCTCCTCTTTTTTGCGTTGGGATTATAATTAACTTCTTTGTTTTGGAACGCTCCTGGTGAGTAAATGCCAAAGCGTCCTAAATGCTACAGTCATTTGCTCCTCAAGAGAACGAAGGAAATAAACTTGTATGAAAGACACGATTACCAAATTATGGAACAGTCTTTAGAAACTATGACAGAAAGAGTACCTCAGCAAAAGAGCTGAAATTTTGCTGTGAAGCAATAGGCTTCATACGTGCCTTAATTTTCTCACATGCATCTAGAACTGCAGCTCCATACATGTCAGAACTTGCAGAAGCTGATGTTGGCGATGCATTAGGAACCTAGTTTATTAATCCAACAAAATACGAGCATGGGGATCATCAGCTTTGTAGGGCATATAGAAAAAATAAAACAGCAGAAATGGAAGGGAATCTAAACCAGTTATTCACACCTATTAATTTTTTTAAATATTTATTTCAAAAGCTATCCAATCATAAGTGCTACAGAGAATTACAGGCTCTAATTCGTACACATTCTCGTAAATTTTACAATTATCAAACACATTTCAACATTAACTGCAGAAACAGCACTCCAGCAACTTCCTTGATATAATAATGCAATAAACTTGTGGAGAACGTGGAATCCTACATAGGGAGTTATGAGCCCTACTACATATTAATCTATAAAGTCCTGACGCTCTCCATCCGTTGCAATTGGTTGAATTGGATGGTCTAATTCTAACAAAGCTTAAGAATCCCTTTAGGACAATCACAGGTATCCTAAAGACCCATAAAACAGCAGAAACGGGAACAGTGCCTTGCCCTTTAGGCAGTAATAAGAGATCCAAAGTGTGCACAAGGTTTCCATCCCATATGACATATAATAAATAGATACATCTATTACATTATCTTTAGCTTTGATGAATAAACGAGGTGCAAAATCTAACCACCAAACCAAAGTTCCCAACAAGGAAATGAAACACTGTCAATTACCTTGTCAGTACTTGTCTCCGAAATAAAGACAGAACTGAGAGGGATATTGAAGGCGGAAGCAGCGACCTGAGCAACTTTTGTATGTAAACCTTGCCCCATCTCTACACCTCCGTGTGTGACTAAAACAGTTCCGTCTGTGTAGACATGAACAAGAGCACCTGCCTAAGAGTCATTCAAGAACGCCTAATCAGGATTTTAATAGCATGATTGCATAGCATATAGAAATGAAAATCAATTATAGACAAAAGATTGGATAGGGTGTTGGGTTTCTGCTCATGCGTCCCGGGTTCGAAACTCCTCCCTTCCCTTAATTATTGTAATATTTTCAAACCCTCCCCACTCCCCTTATAAAATTGTTCTAAAAAAAAGATAGTAAAAAATCCTGTTGTCCAACCTCTATTTTTCTAACAGTTTTATAGCGAAAAAAACATGGTTTATGAAAACTTACCTGGTTCATATGCTTTAACGTAAAGCCTATGCCAAATTTTGTTGGAACCATGGCAATACCACGCTTCCGCCATCGATTTTGAATATTAAATTGGTCAACTTGGTAGCGAGCCCTTGAAAATTCACAAGATGACTTCAGTTGATTCCAGAGCGGACCCAAAGTACAGTGTTTAAGTTGTTGACCATAATGCAATATTGATCCTTCATCTTGAAAATTAATTTCCTGAAACAAATTTATATAACAAGCTCAAATTAAGAGGACTGTGGTGCTTATGAACTGAAGGTGCAAGTGCAACATAAGGAATACAACATGATAAAATTTCTTAAAGTACTTTCATCTCTTCTGGGCTTTTTTTGAGTTCTGCAGCAATCCTCTGAATCCAATTTTCCGCAATAATCATACCTTGAGGACTACCAAATCCTCGAAAAGCAGTGTTACTTGGAATGTTAGTGAAGCAAACCCTTCCTACAATCTTCACATTTGGAATCTCATAGACGTTATCTGAGTGAAACATAGCACGTTCAAGTATGGAAAGAGACAAATCTAGCGAATTTCCACCATTATTGTAGATTTCAAGATCCAGTGCCAACACCTTGCCCTCATTTGTAAATCCAACCTGTGTAAAAGCATATATGAAATCAATACTTTTCTTTCATTCTATCACATGTGATGTAACTTCAACAAAGAAAAAAATGAAATCCAACTAAACAATAATTGACCTAAACGCTAAACCCTAAACCTTCTCCCTCTTCTTCTCCATTTTTTCCTTGAATTAAAGGAGTCTTTCATATTTTTCTTCGCCTAATCAAAGTTAAATCAGGTAATAGAATTTTGTACATGGTAAATGAACCATAGAAGGGGCCAAATTGTTACTGCTTGATACTAAGGTCCCACTGTGTATTTTGTGGCATGAGTAGTCTTTTCTTAATTTCTTTTATATAGCAGCGCTTGTCCGTTGTCACTTATTTGACAAAAGAAAAAGGAACCAACAATTTGAACAAATGAAAAAGAGGTACTGCTAACATCAGATTGTAAAACCTATGAGCAGGACATAAATGTGGTGATCCAACAGAAAATACAATTACAGTAACAGAAGTAAACCTTGTACTTTCCGAGAAAGCTATGGCGTTGTCCAGTTATCATCATATCTGTATCACGGTCTAATGTAATTTTAACTGGACGATTTAACAGATATGCTGGAACAGCGGCTGCAGCAGCAATGAAAGCTGACCTAGTCTCCTTGCCGCCAAAACCACCACCAATGCGCTTAGTTTTACAAACGACTTTTGACACTGGAAGACCAAGAACATGAGAAACATATTTCTGGTGCTTCTGAGGGGCCTGCAGATTGATGATTTCATTTTACATTGCATTAAAAAATTAAGTACTAATATAAAGTCATAGACATTCAATTGACACTGGTCCCTAACAAACTTTTTCCAACACATAAGTACTTGTAATACATACAACCAGTACTTAGGAACAATAGTAATTGAAGAAAGGGGGGAGGGAGAGAGAAAGTGACTGGAAAGTTAAGTATGGAGCGTTAAAACGCTACCAATGTAACTGGGAAAATAGAAAGGTCCAGCAAATCTTTCTAGAGTTTGGGAGGTGGTTAAGGTGGCTAAGTGTAAGGTTATTCCACCAGGGTATTCAACATAAAAGCTGAATCACACTAGCATCGGTCTTAGACCCAATGAACATGATGCAATTTGGCTAATTAATCTCGGCAATGTGGCAACTCAAATCATCTCCATGGTATTATCCAATAGGTTGAATGGGATCGGCGGTACTATAACTTCAATGCACATGTCTGCTAGTTTAGAAATTCATATGGTCGTATCAAGAAGAGGTCAATTTCCACTAGTCAACTATGTTCTTAAGCACCTCCTCATGAAGAAAGGGACACTCTAGCTGCTTGGCTAAAGATGGGAAGGGTGGATCGATTTGGGAAATAATTGGGCTTGCAGGTTAACTTTGGAACCCAAAAGTGCCTGCTTCAACAATATCAAGGATAGAGTGGAAGATTTGGGTAGGGTGAAGATATAGGCAAGGTGATGGCACCATAAGCCAACTAGCACGCGTGAGGGTAAGGTGACAGCAGATAGGGCACTGGGTTTTAGGGAGCTGTTCTGCTGTAATTCTGAATTAATTGCCCAGCCGGGAGCATCACATACTTACCCAAGTGGGGGAAGGATGTCAAAACATGTGGCTAATTTAATTGACCCATTGACGCTTTGCAGTATTCAATGGAAGACAAGAAATGTTGAGCTATGCTTTGTCAATTTGAGCATCAAGCACTTTTAAAAGCACCCTTGAGTAAAACAGGATGTCCTCTTTTTCATAAGAAATAAAACTTTATTAAAGGAGGAAAAAGGTACAACTTAAGACTCCCACTTCCGTCATATCTAAATTGGTTGAAGAAGCAATTCTTTCAGGGGGTTTCTAACATACCTGAGCGGATGAGATCATATGAACTTCATTGCCACCATCCATTGTCCATACCACACTGCTATTTGGCTCCAAATAAAAGTGTTCCTGTCCGCCGACTCGAACTTCCCCCTCTATGACATGGTCACATTGACTTGATTGAAAGCAAATATCCACATCCCCTTTCCTAAAACACCTCTCCGTATTAGGATGGAAATTTTTGGCATCAATGGCATCCTGTATTGATAAGATGGCTGGTAGCTCTTCATACTCAACATGAACCTTCCTCGCTGCTAGTTTTGCATTCTCATTTGTATCAGCAACTACCACTCCTATAACCTGCATAAAATGTTGAATAATCCAAAGGATAAATTCCTAAAAGAGGATAGCAGGGTAGCATGGCACCAAATGTACCACGCAAGAAAAAATCCTGCATAGCCTTGGATTCATGCAGGAGAGAGAGAGAGAGAGAGAGAGAGAGAGAGAGAGAGAGAGAGAGAAAGAGAGATTTTAACCATCATACCTGACCTACACAAGTGACAAATTCTGAAGCAAATAGTTCCTCGTCTTCAACAACTGGTCCAATGTTATTATCAGCTGGAACGTCCTTTGCTAAATATATGCCTGCAAACCCAGGTGATAACTTTGCTCCAGAATCATCGATTGAACGTATACGAGCGTGAGGCTTTCTGCTGAGTATTAAAGCAGCGTGTAAACCATTAGGAGGCAATGGTGTGTCATCGGCATATTCCGCCTCTCCTGTAACCTGGTAGAAATTATCGTATCAATACCAACACCATACTGCTACTCTCTACAAGAAAAAATTCATGTACCGTGCACAAATTTAAACCGATTTCCAAATAAAAAAGGACCTTCACACCATTTAATTTCACATAAGCAATACATAAAATAATTGCACCGTCCAACTCTCAAATGTTAATTACAAACTTTGGTAGTATAGGCCCAAAACAATACAAATTTGAATAATTGGTATATCAGAAAAAATAAAAAAACAGTTTGCCAGTATATCCAAGAATATACCTGAAGTCTTGCTGATAAATGAACCTCGGGAGACCCAACAGCTGTCCCACGTTTTATAACTTCATAATCTTGAGCTCCTATAACAGATGACCGGTGAAATGATCGTACAGCAGAAAGATGAGATAATGGTACACTCTCTTTAATGCATTTCTTCCTTTCCATTTGATAAGAAACCCAAAGAAAAAATTTGAAGAAAAAGCTAACACTCAATGACTTACGAAACTCCACCATTCCACCAGGAGCATCATCCTTGAGCAATACATCTTCTTGCAGGACTTTCAAGGCACCCTGCAACACCTCCTGGTTCCAACTCTTTCCAATGAGAAAAATTTTCGTTCTCATTGCAGAAAGAGAGAGTGGAGCAACTCCACCATAAGCAATGGATGCATCAGACACAACCCAGCCACCTCTGTCCTCAAGATGGACACGAATCCCAGCATTCACAATTGCAATATCATCATCCCTTCTGTGAGCTTGCTTATACTCTTTCACATACTCGAAGGGCCTAGTCCAAGGTAAAAATACAGAGAGTAAAATTTCACCACTGGTCAAATCCACCTTTCGGTAACCCAAGAAAAAGTTTTCTGCCAGCGTTGTTCTAATATTCCCTTTGCAATCAATAATCTGAAATTTCGCTCTAGAGGCCATCCAAAGAGGGTTCAAGTCTGATATTGGACTGGCTGTACAGATATTTCCACCCACAGACGCAACATTTCTTATTTGCACCCCAGCAAACCATTTTAATTGTTCAACAAAGGCCTTACAAGCAGAAGTTTCATGAGCTGTGCGTTCTGTTATGACCGTTCTTAAAACTTTAAGTAGTTCAGAAAGTCTTACTGCTGAACCTATCTCTATGCCATCATCCTTCACAGTCAATTTACTGAGTTCAGGTACATGCGTAACAAAAATCAAAACCTTATATTGAATTTTCTTCAACCTCGTTTCAATTCCCACCTCAGTATTGCCTACCAATAATTTTGCATCAGGGTATTTTTCCTTCAATTCTAGCACTTGTTTAAGCCTCAATGGTCGGAACCACTTTAATCCACCAAAACCAGTCAAACTTAAATATGTCGATTTTCTCAATAATAGCTCAGGAGGAAAAATAAACTCCTTGTCTGTGTATGTGCTTCCATCAATTTCACTGTACGAGACAGGTGCATACCTCTTACTATGAGTACCACTTTCATGAGTGGTGCATGAACTTTCACTTTTCAATCCACATGAACAGGGCTTTCCAGTTGAAGGGCACACAAACTCACCTCCTTCAGAGCTTAGTGTAGATGTATTAATGTATGGCGTATCATCCGTTTTGGCAAATACACGAAAAGCATCAACAATAGGTCTGTAACCTGTGCATCTACACAAATTTCCTGCAAGACATTCTTCAATCTGCTCCTCACTAGGTGGTTTCTGACTTGACCTTAACAAGGCATAGATGGACATAATAAAACCGGGGGTGCAAAATCCACATTGTGAACCATGAGATCGTGCCAATGATTCCTAGATAACATGAAAGAAAATAGGCATAGGTTAGAATCTCAATTAGGCAGGTTACGTACTTTAATGGAGGTGCCATACTCCAGACTCCCCTGCCCAAGACCCTCCCTAATCTCAAAAAAGCAATTCAGTATAACACAGTTGTCAGATAAAACATATGGTGTTTTGACGATTGAGAAATCATCTATTTCGCCCGAGAAAGAGTGACTAAATCAGAAAAAGTCTGGAGCATGAAATGGCAATCTACTTATCAATCTTGTGGTATATATCAGCATACAGGATGAATTCCTATCTTACGCAACACAATTACAGCTAGGAATTCTTAAAGCACATATTGATACTGCTTAAGCTGAGGTGGTCTCCAGTGTTTGTAATTTTTCTGTTCTATCAAAATTTCAAAACTGTATGGAACTCAACTTTACAACTTTTGTGAAACTGTACATGATCATGAGTGCGACCTAAGTGATTTTAAGGCTTCAAACACCTTCCCTGAGTTGTTGATTACAGAATATGCTAAGTGATGTAAGCCTACAACTGCCCTCACCCAAATGGGGATTACAAAATATGCACCTTAAGTTTCCTTTTTCTCCCTCCAATTTCTTTTGCATGCTTCCAATCAAAATCCTTCCTATGCATGGCTGATTACTGAAATAATCCCCAGCAAGAGTACTTCAGAGTTGTTCACCAAAGCAAAGTCCACCATGCAGGGGAATGGATGAAGAAATAAATGGCAGAACTTAAAAAATGCAGGCCAACAGGGGAATGTATAAGGACAGCAACTCGGTTGTGGGATGCACCTTCAAGCTACTGAGTATCCCATCTATGAGGGTTGTGTGTTAGGGGCCGGGCGTTTATTAGGTTTTAGAGTGACCTGGAGGGATCTAGACTTAGCAGCAGCTAGGAATTTGATTTTCTACAAAATAATAAAGAATCGAAATCAAAACCCCAGCTTAAATGTCGTTGTTTGACCTTAGTGAAACAAATCACATGCCCACAAGGCTTAATCCTCTTCGCCATTTAACTAAACAGAGGATACCTCAGGTGCTCCTCCAGGGTCCCCTTGATTTCACATTGCAGATCGATGGTACACAGTAAGAGATAGCCTTTCTCTACTTAAACAACTCATGCCTCATGTATGAAACAAGAGATCCTACAGGCTAAACTAGGTAATGTATGCAGTATCATTCTGATTAACTTAAAAGTAATAACAGAGACAGGGAGCAAAAAGAAAGGAAGCATATATTACTTGAATTGGGTGCAAGCCCTGCTTGTGGCTCCCTAGTCCTTCCACAGTAATTACGTGCATCCCCTCTACAGAATACAAAGGAGCCAAGCATGCGTTCACAGCATAGTGGCTGCAAAAAGATTTTACAAAAGAAAATAAACAAAATATTTTCAGTTTGATCCAAATGTATGTGAGCGAATGTATATTTAAGAGAAAGGGAGACTCACAAACTTTTCTTCAGTTCTTTGTCATAATGCGAAACCATAACAGTGCAAGCACCACAACCACCTTCACCACAGCCAAGCTTTGTCCCCGTCAAACCTATATCTGTATTGCCAAAAAGGCAATCGAACCTAATTAGGTGTTTTTTGACATAAAGAACCAAAATGGACAACAAAACCTGGAAGAAATCAGCAATTAAGAATGTAAGAGATGCTATGCAGCGCAAAAAAATATTGACCATTCTGACATTTATTAACAGCAATCAGCTCCGTAGTTCAAGAATACTCTTCTTTCTTGTATAAAAGAAACTACAACACAAGGGACAAGGCAATCCCTAAACCATGCCCGAGTTCCCAACTAAAGAACGACAAAGCAGAAGACACCAAATGAAAACAAAACAAAAGAACAAACTAATACACAACATTAAACATGATTAAATGAAGTCCATAATAATGTCCAGAAACAAAGTATGTACTACAAACGGTCTGCATGCATCATCCCGCCTAGTGGCCTAAAAATTTCCTATTACTCTCCATCCAAACAACCCAAAATATCTCCAAGATAGTCCATCTTCAATGCATCATTCCCCATTCCTCCCTTGGATAAAACTTAGGCTTCTCACAAAGTAATGCATTAAAAGATTCCGGGGTTGCCCAAACTCGACTCCCTAATCATCCACAAACAGTAGGCATCAGGATCAACGGAGCATTAAGCAATCTAAATATTCGGCATCCATTGACCTTCCAAACTGCGCAAGAGGGGTGAAAACAGAACTGGACTAGTCTGCCAGAAGAACCATCCATTGATTTCCACGAATACTCATCCATCAGTGATCTCCAATTCCAAAGTGATTGAAGTTTCTTAAGAAAAACCAAATCTCAAGCCAAAGGAAAGGATCAAAGACAACCAAAGACACAAACACAACTAGGAATACAAGAACTATGGCATCTTGTAACAACAACAAAACAAACTAACAGATTACAAGACCAAACTAATCTGAACTTTTTCTCTTCCCACTTTTCCTGGCAATCAAACAAACAAAACTGGGAAAACCAAGTTGCAATTACAATTAAAAAGATAAAAAGAAATGATCAAAAATCATACCTCTGAGATACTCGAGAAGGGTCAAATGGGCCAACCCATCAAGCAAAACTCTACGAACTCCATTGACATACAGTATGGCCTCTTTTGAGTACTCCCCCAATTGTTCCAGCTCCTCCTCTTCCTTCTTCAACGATCCCATAATTTTGTTTTCTGCGTTTTTTCAATTCCTCAGAACCCAATTAACTTCAATCCATGTAGTTTCTTTGTATGTGAGAGACAGAGAGAGAGAACTGGGGGAGAAAAAGATGAAATGAAACAGTAGACAGAGGAATCAAAGATCCGTGTTCAGATTCTTATAAGAAAGTAAATAAGATAAGCGTTACACCGCACGCAAGCAGTATGCCGGTGTGTGCTTCAATTTCTGCAAATTTATTTTTTTCAATCCATAATTTTATTAGATTAGATGTTAAATTAGTCACTGACGAAGTTAGAATCCACACGAACTTAACACTTTTCCACTATTACTTATTTCTGCAATTTTCTTCTCACTCCCTCTTTTCTTTTTCTTTTTTATTGGGATAAAAATAAAATAACATTTAGTCAAAAAGCATGATTTTGACAAAAAAAAGATTAATGCACAAGTACACACTACAATAAGTAACTCAATCTTGAAAGAGAAGTACAAAAAACAGAAGAACTCAAACCAGAAGGTGTAAGTAGGATCTATCAAGTTTCTAAAAAAAAATGTTCTTTTAACGTATAGTAATCAGTACTTATTTAATTCATTTAATAAAATTTTCAAATGATAAGTATATTCCCACATATTTTATAAAATTACAATCATTGCTCCCACATTATTCTATTTGACAATTATTATATCTCATTAAATACTATATTATTTTTAATCATTTAATATATTCACAGCAATTTATATAGAAGTTTACCAAACACTTAGACACTATTACCAAACACTCAACAGCAAAAAAAAAAAAAAAAAATTTAAAAAGCACAGCAGTACCCAACTAGCGTGTAGTCAATTTGGATTTTAGATGATTTTAATAGTTTTTTTAAGTGACAAATTTCAAAATCTTTTAATAGATTTTACAATTTTATATTAATTTTGGCAGATTTATATAGATTTATATGAGTTAGTATAGACTTCTCTCATAAATTTCTTAGGATTTAGTTGACTTCTAAACTATAAAATAAATTTCTTTCCAAATACACAATTTGAAAGGAACATATCAGCATATATATATATATGTATATATAAGAAAATACAAATTCAAATATGCCTTTCCTTTTCTCATTTGAATCCCAATATGTTCCGTGATGATGAGAAATCGAGGAGCTAATAACCTGAATTGAAAAGTAAAATAATGCAAAAAAAAATCCAACCAAACGCAGTCGAACTGTAGGAAAAACCTTATGAGCAGCCATAAAAAGATATCTTTTTGTCAAGAATTATAACCTTAATTCATTTGATCTATCCAAGCAATCAATGAAATTCTTATTTCTTTCGGGCAAATGGCAAGTGATCACTATTGGTCGAGCATGGGAGAAATGGACTGGAGGGAAGATGGGAGACAAAAGTGACGCTTGAGAAGTCGGGAATGAGGAGAGAGGGTTAGAAGAACATAAGCTTGATTTGAAACCTTAGGGGGTGAGGTGAGATTCATTTTCTCTTGGTTATATATATTTGTGCTCACAAATCCAACAAAATCCACAACTTAATGAAATACTGTCAAATTTTTTTTTGATTTAATACACCTAGATTTATAATCACTCTTGTTATATCCATTAAAATCTCAATTAACTACTCATAGATTTGGATGTATTTTTAAAATACTCTTAACCTATTTTGACTACACCATAATTTCAAAATCTATTAAAATCTTATAAAATCCTAATTTAATTACACCCCACCCTATTTTTTCCTATTCATAACATATAACGTATTTTTTTCTCATCTTTTGATAAGTTATCCCACAAGAGTTCTAAAAAATACAGAAGTAGAGGAAGTAAGGAAAACTTCCTTAATTGATTTCTTCTTTTATCTTTATATAGAGGTTTTCATCTAACATCTTATGAAAAACTAGCACACAAAAATAATAAAAAGCAAACTTGTAGTAGGCCTAATTTACTGAACTGTATTAAGGATAGGGAGAGAGGAGCCGGCGGCACAAAGAGAAGAGAGGGATATGTATTTGTGAGGTGTGCATTATCTCATCCCATTGTGCCTTTATTTATAGTAGTAAGTAAGGTTAAATCCTTATCGTAATAGGATTACTTTAGGACTGCAACACTCCCCCTTGAGTGTGTAAATACTCAAACAAAACATCACATCAGGTCTTCAGCAAATGAAGTAGAACAATTGAAGTCTTCGGCACAACAGGCAAACACGAGTCTCAAATTAAAGAAAGTATGCATTTGTAGTAAAAATCACAAAACCTCGCTATGGTACAACCTACGATAGGTACAAACTCATAGACTAAGGAGAAAAGTGAGAAGTATGCATAATGTCTAAAACAAACGTCATACAGGACGAAAAAAGTGAACTCAATGGAGTATGATCATCCCAGAATGGGTGCCTCATCAAAACCTCGTTAGATAGCAAAAACTCAGTAGGGAAAATGCTCCTAATCGTAGGAAAAAGAATACATTAAGATCAAGTAAGTATGCTTCGGGATACTCCCCCTGAGTTAGACAACTTCCAAATAAGAGAACTTCAAGCAATTCAACTTAGATAATTTACGCATACCGATTCCTTGGACGAACTTCTAAAAAGTAGACTTGGGCAATGACTTGGTGAAGAGATCAGCCATGTTGTCCTAGGAACGGATTTGCTTGGCTTCAATGTTCTGATGTTGTTGTTGCTGGGGTAAAAGAACTTCAGCGCAATATTCTTGGTGTTGTATCCCTTATTTAGTTGCTCGTACTAGTGCTTCAAATATGTTCCATGACTGCTCTTAATCAAAAGCACTCACGCGAGGCTTCATGCAAAAGCGAGAATCTCAGCATGGTTAGAAGAAGTCACAACTAGCGTTTGCTTCGTAAACCTCCAAGATATTGCAATGTCTCTAACGGTAAAGACATAACCCGTTTGAGAACATGCCCTATGTGGGTTAGATAGATAACCAGCATCTTCATAACCAACGAGGCGAGAATCAACCCGAGGACCGAAGGGGGCGGCTCCTCTCGAGGATTAATTCGTGGGTGTAGAACAAGCCCAAATCTATCATACCCTTGAGGTAACAGAAAATGTCTTTAATACCATTCCAATGTATGCGCGTAGGCTCGTTGTTGTATCTAGCCAAAAAATTAACAACGAAGGAGATGTCGGGTCCAGTGCATTGAACCAAGTACAACAAAGCACCAATTGCACTTAGGTATGGAACTTCAGGCTCCAAAATCTCTTCCTTCATCCTCCTCGGTAGGGGTGGGTTCAAAAAACCGAAAACCGAAAAAAACTGAAAACCGAACCGAACCGAAATCGAAAAAACCGAACCGAACGAAAAAACCAAACCGAATTGAAAAAACCAAACCGAACCGAACTCTTTTGGTTTGGTTCGGTTTTGGTGGTCTAGAAACCGAACCAAACCGAACCGAACGGAAATAATTAAATTAATATTTTTAATTTTATTTATTTAATTATTTGATTTTATTATATTAGAATATGATACTTCGCTGCTACTTTGGTAGGACTTGTTTGCTTTCCAATTCAAATTGTCTTCTCAGCTTCTCCATCTACAACAAAAATTAGAACTTATACCATTACATGCAATATTTCTAATTTATATCATTAAGTGCAACACATATATAAGAACACATATCTCAACTGCACTGCAGTTGATTAGGGAAAGCAAACAGCGTATAAAAGTCTCATGAGTTTATTAAACACTACGAGATCAAAAACAAAATTCAAACTTTCTCACCTATGGCCAAGTATAGTAGCTTCCGTGGCCCAACAATTTTGAAAAGTATATCAATATATTCAAAAATATTGATGAACACATATTCAAAATTTGCTGGTGGTAGAAGCTGAACACAGAATGTAGAAATTATATTATGTAACCACATATATGAATAAAAAAAATTCGGACCATAAAGATAAAAGAAAATATCAAAAATTGTTGCCTAGACAATAATCAAAATAAATAGTATATTATAGAATGTTTATCTTATTGCTAGTGAAGAATACATGTATATATATATATGTATATAGAGAGAGAGAGAGAGAGAGAGAGAGAGAGAGAGAGAGAGAGAGAGAGAGAGAGAGAGAGAGAGAGAGAGATTGAGAGAAAGAGAGGAATAAATAAGGTCGTACTCCATTATCATCGTCTAAAAAGAAATCTATTTACAGTTAAACTTCAAACCCAAAATATTTAAAAAAAAAAACCTTTATGTTATAATTCTAGTTGAACTTTAAATGTTTATTTTCATTATCTTTAAGTCTAGTCGGAATATTTATGTTATGATTGTGTTGGATATGTTAAAATTTAAGATTTCAATTTTTTTCATTTTTTGAAAAAAAAAACTGAAACCGAACCGAACTGAAATTTCGGTTCGGTTTCGGTTTTGGCAAAAAACCAAACCGATTTGAACCGAACCCACCCCTACTCCTCGGGACGGAAGGGATCTCATTTAGCATCTAGAGTCTGAATGACCATAGGAGTACTTGAAGGCTTCACTTTATCCTCATTAAAACGTCGCAGCACCTTCTGGGTGTAGTTCAATGATGTACTAGGATTACATCCGAACAGTTCTCAATCTCCAGGCCGAGACAATATCGAGTTTTCCCAATATCCTTCATCTCAAATTTTGATTTTAAGTGAATGGCAATTTCCTCAAGCTCTGCAAGAGTTCCAATGAGGTTTATGTTGCCGACATAAACTGCAACAATCGCAAATCCGAAATGTGACTTCTTGATTAACACGCATGGGTATAATTCATTGTTCACATAACCCTGACTTGTCAAATATTCACTCAGACGATTATACCATATCCGTCCGGATTGTTTCAATCAGTAGAGTGATCTCCTTAATCTAATCGAGAGGGTGTTCTGTGGTCTAAAACTATTTGAACCAGTCAACGGAAGTCCTTCTGGAACTTTCATGTAAATTTCCGTATCTAGATTCCCATAGAGATACGCGGTTACCACGTCCATAAGCTACATATTCAGTTTTTCGGAAACTACCAAACTAATAAGGTAGCAGAAAAGAAGCCTTGCGCCTCTAGGGCGTTAAGAGAAGCCTTGTGCTATACGAGGCGTGCTTTGTACCGCACTATTTCATTCTTTTCATTACGCTTCCTCACGAAAACCCACTTGTAGCCCACAAGCTTCATATGTGGTGGAGTAGGAGCTACAGGCCCAAACACCTTTCGTTTCGCGAGCGAATCGAGTTCAACCTGGATTGCTTTTGACCAATCGGTTCTACGTTGACATTCATCAACGGAACGTGGTTCAATGTCATTGCTAAGCATGATGTCAGTAGCTACTGTATATGCAAATGCATCAACGACGATCATCTCATTCTGATTCCAAACCTCATATAATATTGTGTAATGGACCAAAATCTCGCGATTCTCGGGAGATCGGTTTGTCTCATCTAAGACTTCACCGTAATCTAGAATAACCTCATGCATTGGAACAGATGAGTAAGCGATGGTCGGATTTAGACTAGGTTCACTAGTTTGTGCTGTTTTCCTCTTCCGAGGTTGTGAATCCTTTGAACATGATATTGATTATCTCAAATATCTCCAAAACTCAGTAACATTCTTCTGAAACAGGGAGAATAAAGTGCATGTTTAATGGTTAATTCGGTACCATTGGACATTATACGAAGTTAGTAAAATAGTGTCGCTCACGCAAGATGGTGTGCGTAGTAGCACTATCAGCCAGACAACTAACTTCCCCACTAGTCATGCCTAGAAATAAATTAATTGAATCGATCACATGCATAAATATAATTTCATTCATTCAATTAATTAATCAAGAAAATAATATCCATAATTCAAAATAAACCAAAACCAAACAAATTATTCCAAAGACTTAAAAAAATTATCCAAAAAATTAAACCATAAACCTAGAAAAATAGGGGGTTCGGCCACACCTGGTGGGTTCAACCACTAAGGGTGAAAACACCCTAACATGTCTAGAAAAATAAAACTTTATTCTTCCATGGGAATGGATGCCTCCTGAAAATCTAAAACCTCCATAGTTGTGGTAGTATCATTGGGATTTTCCACATGTGCAAAGTTAGACTCTCGACAAGAATGATACTTGGCAATAGCCTCGGGGTAGCTCGGTATACTTGTGACCAATGATCATTTGATCCACAGTGGTAGCACATGTCCAATTCAGTAAAAGCCGATTGAATGGTAGTTTTTCCCTTGTTCTTGAAATTTGAAGCCTTTGGGGCAAGGGTTTGGCTTTTATGGGTCAAATTTCCTCCCTTGGCAAGACCTCTACTCTGTTGACCTTGGGCCCGTGGCTTGGGCTACCACCCATTTCCACGACCATGACGAGGTTTCTGTCGGTTGTGGCTGCTAGAATTAATAGCATGCGCTTCAGGCGGAACGTTCGAGCTAGTGGGTCGAGCTTGGTGGTTCTTCATCAAAAGCTGGTTCTGCTTTTCAGCCAGAAGTAAAACTGAGATCAAATTCGAAAATTTGGTGAACTTCTGTGCACTTTATTGTTTCTGCAGGATAATATTGGTGGCATTGAATGTCAAATAGGTCTTCTCCAGAAGATCTTGTTTGGTTAAGTCCCCTTTACAGAACTTAAGCAATGATCAGATTCTACAAACTTCAAAGTTGTATTCATTCACAGCTTAAAGTCTTAGAACTTTAAAAGTGAAGATGTTGCTAGTCATGTCTTACTTCAGGCAAATAAATGTCTTTCTGGTGATTGAAACGATCGGCCAGATAGAGCCAAAGGGTACGTGGGTCCTCCTGAGCGAGGTACTTGGTCTGTAGTACATCATGGATGTGTCTTTGGATGAAGATCATAGCAGTAGCTTTCGGAGCTTCACCGACCAGGTCGTTCGTAGGTTCCTTAATAGTAGCTCGAAGACTCTTTGCGGTAAGATGAAGCTTCACGTCTTGAACCCACTTTAGGTAGTTTCTTCCAAATATTTCCAAAGCGGTGAAATCGAGCTTGTTCAAGTTTGACATGTCCTTAAAACAAAGGGTACAACAAAAACGTGGTTAGTCATATGGAAGGCCAAACATACATTGTAGAACATTCGGGTTCTAATGACATGTTTATGTTTAATTTAAACATGAAACCTACGGGTGTCATGAGGTAAGTTTTGAATGAAAACTTCGGGTTTCAAACGCACTAAATTCAAAACTACATTTCAATTTAGTTATGAACTTTCGGTTCATATATAAGGGTACCTACAAGAACATAGAATACAATATACAACTAAGGGTAGTGAATTTGGGAATTACTTCAGGAACCTAAGTGTGAGTGCATCGGGACTACGAAAGATAGTCAACAGTTCAAAGAAAAGAAATAATTTATTGAACCGTTAATTGCCAAATAGTAGGCTTCAGGCCAATAATTTTGGATGTCTTGTCAGATTAATGGATTGCTTGTCACTTTAATTAATTCAATAGATCATAACCATCCGGGTTTGATCGTAGTAGCATTAGCTTGAATTTTTTGCTTCGGGCCATGCGACAATAAAACTAGAGCTTGATAAGTGTTAACGAATAACGTCCCAAAAATTATAGGTT